AAAACTTTGGTAATTTTGAATCAATATTCACATTCATAATAACATCTCCTTCATACATTTTTGGTTTTCTTACAATATACCGTTTTTGAAGTTTTGTAGGATTTTCGTTACACTTCTCTTCCGTTTTCAAATTCGCGAAAAGTTTTAATTTTTTGATAAGCTAAGTGTAATTTTGGGATTTTTATATGTTAATAATTATTAAGTTCCATAACACTCACCATATGTCTTATTTTCTGCAAATTGATCATATTATTGGGAACTAGTGCAACATCAACACCATCTGTGAGGGTTTCGAAAGAAAAACAATTGATACCCTCACTCCCTTTATATAAACACAATCAGTTCGACGTTAATCGTTAGCTTATAACCACATTTTTGTTGGGTATTTATAGGTATAACCGTAATTATATTTTATGGAATATAAATGGTGTTTTTACATTAGGCTGAAGATTCACATCAGAGATAATGATGTCGTTAATTTGCGTGCACTTGAACGACTATATCTCTTGATTTCCTGTTTAATTTTTTTTTTATGATACTCCAACAATAACGGACCGGAAGAATCATTCAAGATATCTGGATATCCCCGACTCTGTTCTATATAAATCATTCGTTTAGTAACTACAGCGCATATACCTTACATCAAGTGTGTTCTTATCTTTTTTTAATTCTGCTAGAAACTCAAATGGTGCAATATTTCGCCTAAGTACGAGTGTTTTCCTAGAAAACATAAAACACCATACTTTTCAATGAACTATTTTTTCACTTGCATCACCTCGGAGTGGATTATTCTTCAATCTGTCGCACCACGGACCGGATCAGCTTACAGAGTTTGGCAAAGTCCCAGAGTGAAATATCAATTTTGCACCAAAAAACTAGTGAAAACTTAAACCATTTTCAACGCACTACTTCCATTTGGAATATTAGTGACGTTCTCAATTTCTGTGAATAATATTTCAAAAACTAGACAGCCAAGCTTTGCGATTCCCTATCGTAATATTAATCATATCATATAACATGAATTTTTTTTCAAACTATGTATAAGTGGTACATTATTTTTCACTGGTTATGATAACTGCATTTTAGTTCTTTTTTAAACTAATGCTGAAACCTTTGAAATTCAGCTGGATTATGTACGGACTAAAATAAAACAATTTTCAAATCATAATATGTTACATATATTCATTTCAGAGGAACGCAATAATAATGACATGGTAATCCAACCGACGTTCAATTGCTTTTCCCACGATTCTTCCGAAAATTCTCTGACAAATAACAAGTGGAAGAAAGCCACACTAAACTATTTACTTCGGAAATCTAAAAATCTCCTAGAACCCGAAGTACAAAACGTTTTGTTAGCTACTGCAGCAGACATCATCAGTAGTATATGCATTGACTACGAGGACGAAGTTTATACCTCGAAGTCTCAGCAACGACTGATTAGCGAGCTCAGTATTCACTCATATTTATAATTTAAAATTGTGGTGGTGGAGTGTTCATGCGAATGCCGACTACTGATTTGTCCATACTTATACTGGTTTGTTCTGATTGGTTCTCATTTTTGCCAGCTTTTTATGATTGATCAATCAAAAATCTCCCACCTCCATCTCCCTATGAAATTCTAAATACGAGTGAACACGAAGCTCGCCAGTCAGTGGTAGCTCGCTCTCATGATCAACGCATATAACACTGATGATGTCTGCCGCAGTAGCAGACTAAGGTACTTTAGGTTCCATTCGACCACGGCCTACCATTTAGCTATAAAATAATTGCTCTTTGAAAAAAGGTTGCTGGAAATTTTCTTCAGTAGTCTCGAAAATAAATTTTCCCGACCTCTATTGTCACGATTATGGCGAATCGGTTAAAGCGATTAAACGAACGAACCGCCCCTGGCACAAGTCCAATAATACTGCGTACGCAAAGTAACATCCAGACGTTGAACATCAAGTTATTCCGTATGGTGACTTTGAGACTCCTATGGAATGCCGTCGAAAAATATTGATAACTTCGAGAGCCGAACGATGTCGATGTCAAAGCTTGGCTTTGCAAAGGAACACTTTGGGATTCTCTATAATATTTGTCTGTCGACATAGATGTCATCTTTATAGAAAAAGATGTCACCTTTTTCCTACTTGAGCTTGTCTTTCAAGAACAGTTGGGTCCAGCAATGCATTCGTGGTTTAGCCTATCACCATTGATGAGACATTGTATAATCGAGACAGCACTGTCTGGTGTTGGATCACGAATGCTTTGTTTTTGGGCTCTGATTTCGACTGGATGCCCGTCAGTGAAGGCTGAAGTGATCTCGACAAATCTCGTTTGGCGGTCTATATCGAAGTTTGGCTCTACAACGTACCGCCTTGGGGAGCCTCATTAATCTTAATATTAATGGATTGAGTCTTCTGTCGATCGCTTAGATGACGCCTTAATAGTAGAGCAGAGTAAAGATGTCATTGTTGTTTCCAGGATTTTCCTTAAGGATAGTTGAACCCAATGCCGTCTTCAGGAGATGGAATAGACTACTTCATCTCCTAAAGACACCAACTTGGTTAGTGAACCGCGGTTCAAAAAAAGTGTTGCGGACCTGGTATGCTTGGTTAAGACCCTTTCTGTTCTCATCGCTTAAAAAATTCACTTGTAAAAACACCTCAGACGAAAACAAGTATATTCACTTTGACAAGCGTCAAAATCAAAGCCCAAATGATGAATAAACTTGCAGGTTTCAGAGCTCATATTTGAGGAAAAGTGAGCATCGCTACAAACAATTCAAACATAATTATGTGATGTTTAAGCGAAATTTAAAGAGTTTTCTAATTGAACAATGTTTTTATTCATTGAATGAATTTTTTAGATTAGATAAGTAGGTATTATTTTAGTTTTAAGGTGTTGTTTCAACTTGTATGTTTCTTATACTCTGTTTTTATCTTTATTTTTATTTCTTTTATTGACTATTCCTATGTGGCAATCGTTTTTTATTTGCACACTCTTATGCTTTTCAATATTCAATGTAATACTTCTAAGTCTACACGGAAATAAAATATTATTATTATTAAATAGGTAAGTTGAATCACACTGAACTCATTTTGAACCGAAAACAAGTGAAAATACAGTTAGATATAATAGTGATGAGTCGTACAACTCATAATTTGATATCATAAAATGATTATTTCAGTAAATAATAAAGATCAGTCAGAGATTAAAAAAAAAATGTAACAAGAATCATTACATATTACACTAGTTCGTTTAACATTTTCAACTTAAAGATAGCCTTCGACTTCTACTTACTCTAAAGTTATAACACAAACCAGATATATTTTTATGTTTCAAATATTATCTCAGTTAATATAAGGAATTTAGGCGAAGATATGAAAATGTTTTTCTATATGGAATTTTAAAACAGATTATGATCATGATTTTAAAATATATTTCAAAGTCAATTAGATGGTGAGTCATCAGGATTTCTTTTGAGGAAAGTATTTTAGTTTTCAAATGACAATTGACTAAACAATTCAAGTAAAATATTTCTCTAAACAAATGACCTTTGACAAAACTTCTAAGAAATTAGGTAACTGATCTATATGAGTGAATGGTCAGAAACCCGGAAAATTTTATTTGATTCTTGACAATATATTCACCAAGGGGTTAACAAGTAACATAAAATTTTTACACCATAATTAAGTATTGGGTAATGAAATAAATATGAAAAAACTGAAAGAAATAATAGTAAACTGAAACATGTATTGAGGTATTGAAATACTAAAATCAGAACAAGTATTTGAGTCATAGAATGGAATTATTATTATACGGAAGTAGTGAATGTGCTGGAAATTCTGAATCCCATGCCTGAAATACTAACACATACTTGAATACTGAAAACCTGGATTCAATGAATGAAAAACTGTAAGGAATGGTAAAAACGTAACTATACAAAAATGATCTGAATTCTTGGAAATCTTTATTGCTTAAATTGGTTGACAATGCTCGACAATGAAAACTTTCAAAATGACACCTTCTATTCACCATTGCATGCTGGAGACCTTCATTTACTAATTTCAAATTTTTCCACGAAATTTAAAAAATCCTATTTTGCCATAATAACTCTTTTTTGGAATCACGAAATCACCACTTCACTAGAGTTTTTATTATTTATTGGTATTACCACAAAAAGTTGAAAAACGAAAATAATACACCAATTTTGAAAAGTTTACTCAGTTTTGCCCTAGAATCCCTAGAAGAAAGTATTTGTTTGTTTATTCCTTCAAATAAATAATATATGCCAATTCAGCCTCCTTTTAAATGAAACACCACATTTTCAATTTTTTTTTACTCTATTTTGAAAAATGCGACAGAATGACACCATATTTTCCTTGCTACTTTTTCACCAATACAAAACAGCATTGAGAGATTTTCCATACAATATTTGTTTTTGCGAATACAATGCCTAGGCACAATATGATTCTTCAAATAACAAAAAAGGATTTTTTAATTAAATTTCAAACGTTTTAATGTAGTACACAATGTTATTTTATTTTGGTCATATCATTCTGTTCACCTTCTTTTAAATTTGAAGATTATTTGAGCCTAATTACGTTTTCGATTTTTCTACTGATTTATCTTCGATATGGTTCAGTATAACATCACATTTTTTTATTCAATGATGAAGTAAAAAGCCAAAAATACTTCAGATGTCTGGGTCAAGTAGGTACTATAACCAAAAATTGGTAATCCGGCTAAATTTTTCGTGCAATAGAGATACTGAAATTTTTAGTAGATAATGAGTTGAACTGAACCATTTACTGAATTGATTGATTACTTAATGTACATGAACTGGAAATTTAGTTACTGAAATAGTTATGGAAGAACTGATACTGAAAATATTTTGAGATTTAAATAATGAATCCAATACTCACATCTATTCTACTAAGCAATACTGAAATACTGAGTTTTTATAAATGTACACCTACCGAAAGAGTAGTCAAAAAATCAAAGAAACCGCTTACCTCTCCTGCGGTCTTTCTCTTCTTACTGAAAGACATTCTTAGGACTTTCTTAATGGATTTTTCTCTTGCCATTTTTCCATTCATATTTTTAAAAATGGTTACACACCTAATTTATCACTCTCACCTCAACAAAGTCAATGTTTAGTTAAATTCAGTGATAGTGATAAGATAAGCAAATCCAAAGATATATTATTCTGGATATTGTAGTAGTACATATTATGTCCATTACACAGCAATGACTAATAAAAACACGGGAAATATTAGGGTAAAAATTAATATTCCTTTAAATTGATAAATTCAGATGTTCACTAGCATAATAGAAACTATTATCTGATGATATTTTTAATCGATAATAGTTCATGTCTAAACAATCAACAGGTGCCATAAAACTTACAAAACTTCCTGATTTGGCCTTTTCCTGTCGAGACATTTTTACTTGTCATTGGTGTTCAAGTTCCGGATGAAACGATAGTCCAATCCTACAAAATCAAATCCTTTTAACAAAAAATTGAGAAGGGAATATAATAACCTTACTTTTCACATATTCTTCAAAAACTACAAGTTAACAATATCACTTTTCAAATTCATTCAATATTTTAAATTTTCCTGTATCAATGTTGAGCACAATGACTTTACTTAAGGCGTGTTTGTTTTAGTAAATCGTTAAAATGAATAATAAACCCCACTTCTATAAAAAGTTTTCTATCGTGATCCTATTCTATTCTATTCGTTAAATTATTAAGGAGTGTTGGGGAATTTTATTTCTCCTGTAATTTCAAACAGTGTCAAATTGAAAGTCATGTGTCATGTCAACTAATGCTTGAGTCCAGCAGCTTTCGAGCTTTCAATAGTTAAAGCTGCCTTATCACAGAATGTGATTGATAGTAATTGTTGAATCCAGCTGCTGAATGAAATCAAAGTGCTTTTTTTCGTTGAATAATCACGCTATATAAACTGATAGCAAATCTGATTATGTCTATATAAATGCTAATTCATGCTTGTACTTGAACGGCACATGTTCATGCGCTGACCAACGATTATGGACATTCAGGATTGCTTAACTTTAGCGATTTTGTCACGTCACGTCACGTCACGTGATCTCGTGACGTAACAGTGGTGACTGGATTGATTGGAAACTACACTTTTAAATTAAAATAAACAAATTTCATGTAAATCCCTTATTGAAATTTGATTTTTATATAGGATTAAATATTTAATATAAATGGATTAATACTAAGTAAAAATTTTTCTTTTGTGGATGATAGGTAATATATTATAATACTACATTAGAGCATTATCCAAATTTGAATCAAGTAACATACTGATAGTTTCATTGTGTTTTTTCTGTAAGATTCTAATATTGCGACTAGTATTCTGTAAAACTTCCCTCTATCAATTGTTGGATAATTTAGGTTAACACTAGATAAAGCAGTATTTTTTAATTTACGACGCAAAGGCAAATCTATAAAAAACATATTTATTTTAAGCAGTAAATTAATAAGTTTTTACCTAACAATTTATTTTCAAGGTAACGTTCATAATGATTTTCTGTAAAATTTTTGAGAGTGAATTTATCCCCTCTTTTGCAGCGACGAATCCATTCTTTTTGCAAAGTTGTGGAAACCATATTCTTAGTAATAGGAAAAGAGTGAAATATTACATCAGTAACACCACATTTCTTTAAAGTCAACTGATTGCTTTTGCAAGGTGACACTGCACAAATACGACCAAGCATTTTAACTAAAAATTACAAAGTTATTCAATGGTTAGACAATTATTGCTATTACTTACAAAAATGTGAATATTTTTAATTTTTACCTCAATTTAAAAATGTTCAAAAAACAAAAAAACAAACCTCAAAACGGAAGAAAATAATAGACTCTTATATGGCGTCTACTCGTTACACCAGTTTAAAAAATGTCCAAAAAGCACAAAAAAATACGACTTTCATAATAAAAAACTCAATGTTTCAGAAACCTAATTGCTGTGGTTAAATAAAAATTTAATGAAAATAAACAAAAACAATGTAATACTGTCTGAAAATAATCCTCAAAAAATGTTAAAATAACACACAGTCTTATGGCAACTACTAAAACTGTCACCAGTGTTACGTCACATTTGCTCGGCGCTTGTTTAACGTGGCGATATAAGTAAGCAATCCAGTATGTCCATATTCGTTGTGCGCTGATAACTATCATTATATGTCAATAATTAAAAATCACAACTCAAAAGTAAATACGAATTGTATGTAAGTCTAAAAAAATAACAGGAAAATTATTAGGCATGTCTACTTTTTGGAGTTACAGCCAGCCGCTTTTCTGCAAAAAATATGTCTGTTGAACTGATTTTGTAGTGTTTTTTTTATGTGGTTGAGTGGAATAATAGCGTTCTGTTAAAATCCGCCTCGTTAAGGTACATATGGACCATTCATTATTATTCATCGGTCAGGAGCATATGTCCTCACCTCCATGAAGAGGATATGTGGTTGACTCAATGTATTCTACAATTTATAAAAAATTTACGAAATGAACCGCATATACTTTTTATGGAAAATTTCTATAGGTAGTTTACAGAGACGATGCATTTGAAAATGTTGAAATGAATGATTCCAGTCATCCATATCTAATGCCAATGTTTATAAAAAATTATATAAATATGTTGAGATTCCATGATTAATTCGATTGTGCCTTTGCAATAAAATTTGAAAACTGACATATTGTTAGGAATGTGTTAGGAATCACACGTTGAAAGGTAAGACCTCGTTAGTCCTTAGCTCACACAAGTTTCCTAACTTCTGAGAGTTGTCGTTCGTATGGGGCCGACAGATAATTAACGGAAAAACAGAACAGAATATAATGATATGACAGTCAACAGACAAATAGGTTGAGTATATCTCCCATTCATTTTTTAAATTTTACATATTTGATATATAATACACTGTCTATAATAGTTGATTTACAAAAGACCTTTCACGCTATATTCAGCGTAGTGCTTTCCGTTTTTTAGTAATGAGCGCAGCTACGAACCCTGGGAAGCATTTACACGGATCAAGCGTAACCACAGAATACCACAGAAGAGGTGCCCAACTGGCGGCACTTTGATGTTGAGAAGTCCGGTTTCTGTGACCTATATTCTGTGGTGGAGGTGTTTCATGTCATTTTTCAGTGCTGAATTCAATTCTTTTAAAACATCTTCGATGATATATTAGGATGTTAGGTCAACATTTTAACGTAACTAGCTTCATATTTACCAACAACTCGACGAAATGTTTACTTTGACAATAATCACCTCAATACTGTCAAAAATTCTTGATTCCTAATCCGTGCTGAGTGTCTCTTCTGTTAGGTGTTATGTGGCGTATCTATAGATACATATATTTTTATAAAACTCGTCCCCAGCACCATTGTTGCTTAAATAGCATTCGACTGACTGTTCTCAAATTTATCATATGCGCTGTCAAAAAGATGAGGGATTTCTCTCATAAACTGAAAACTTTTGAGGGAATATTTTCTATGACCATTTATTTGGACGTTTATATTGTGGGGAAAAATTAGTGAAAATGCATTTGCACCAGGAATCTTCATTTTACTGTTCCTTCTTATCAATTGTAAACGTACATTTTAATGTTCTGCCGAATGCTAAAATATTTTATCAACCTAATTTTTTTCCCGTCTAATTTCATTCATCACTTGTGATTTATCCTCTTTTCAAAGAGTTTATAGCGTTGATAAACCGATTTGTTAATGCTCGATGAAAATGTTGTTCACACATGCAATAAAGTCTGTTTTTGCAACACTGATTATAAAAAATCTGTTTTAAAATCTGTTTTTTCGTTAATCAGCTGCCGCCCCCATACGAACGACAACTCTCAGAAGTTGAGCAACTTGTGCGAGCTAAGGACTAACGAGGTCTTACCTTTTAACGTGTGATTCCTAACACGGACTCCTTTAGGATGCCATGTGAACGTGGTCTGTGATTTGTGAAGATTCGTATGTTTCCAGTATAATCGCAGAACTTGTTAACTTATTCAAAACAAACGCTGCTCCCAAACGTCAGCACTGCAACAATTTTCTTGATGGGCATTTAATCAATGAAGTTAGCCTCATCAACAAATGAATAGATCACGTGAACTTATATCTATAAGAACAGAAAAAACGCTCTTGGTAGTCTTTCATATGTTATCTCTTGTGTCCTTATTCCGATCTTCAATCCTGTGTTCATGTGATTATGATTGTTATCAAACCGCTGCTTTCGATATCATAACTCACCCTCTTCCAAATTGGAGAAAGAACCAAAAATAAAATAGCAACCCACACGTATTGTAATCCAAGGAGTCCTCAAATCCGCACATTTCACCGGCAAGGATATTTCCTTATTCTTCGGCTCTGCCATCTAGCGTAATGGTGTTGTCGACTAGTATTGAAAAATAATCTTAATTCAACACTTGAATTAGAAGTGGTTGTTCAAAGTGAATTACAAACAGGGTCACAAATAATATTCAACGTTTGTCGTGATGAAAAAATGAATTCAAGTTTTCAAACATTTGTGGTAAATAAAAAAGTATATCCATAATATCGTCGAAACTTAATTTAATAGAATTTTAAAAGATGAACTATCATTAAAACTTGATTTTTGTTTGGGAAAGATTATCAACCAACAATCAACGTTTTATCTCCAACAAAAGTATATTCTGGGACTTCCAAATTTTTAGGTGCAGGTCCTTTTCTGGCTCTTCCTGCTGCATCAAAATGAGATCCATGGCAAGGACAGTAATAACCTCCCGGACCAAAATCACCTGCATCTGCAATTGGTACACATCCCAAATGGGTGCAAACACCTATTATAGAAAAAAAAATATTGACTATTTTTCTTAAGAACAGAATATTCTTATGGAGAATGAAAAAATCGGTCTAATAATGTGTTGAAAAGTAATAGTATATATACCAGAAAATGGTTATTATTAGGTACAGATCTCATTGTGTGTGGTGAATTTTATAACAAATTACCACAAAAAATAAGATCTCTACCTAATAATATATCAAAAAAAAAAGAAAAAAATATTTTTCAATAAAAAACGCTTTCTGTAATTTGAGTTCTTCAAGTATATAGACATTTGTCGTTTTATAAATCCCAATTTTAAATTATACTGCTTTGTTCTTAAATGTACTCGTCGACATAACTCAGTTGTACTGTATAAAATATATATATTTTTTAAACGTGTTCTTTAAATTGTAAGCATCTTTATTTTTCAAATTCCAATTACCGAACCGACTCAGGTCTCGACATATGTTCCATTAAAATTCAATATTATAATTTCACAAACTACACCTAACGAACGTATTCTAAAAACACTTTATTGTGTGATTTTCACTGGACAGTTTTACAAAAACGCAACACGTGTTTCGCCATACAACGGCTTCCTCGGGCGTGCCCTAATCAGCGTGTCTTAAGACACGCATCAAGTATCGGCCGATTCCATCATATACACCTAACGATTTGATCTTCACAAACTTTATTTTCACAGTAGCTTTTTCGTAGATAGTGAATTCACTACATGTTTTTTGAAAATACAGTTTGTGAAGATCAAATCGTTAGGTGTAGTTTATGAAATTACTATGGATCTGCATCAAGTAACGGCCGAATTAATCAGAAAAAAAAATCAAGGTACTATTTTATCAATTTTCAAAGAGACACGAATATTTTAGTTAAACCTTAATCCTAGAAAATATTTTTCCGCACTTATTTACTCACCAACAACTACTAAGAACTCCGGTATTTTTGTTCGTTTTGCATCATCTTCTGGATCTCTAAGTGATGACAAAGGAACAGATTGTGCAACTCGAATTTCCTCGGCAGTACGATGCCTAACAAATAGGGGTTTTCCTCTCCATTTAAACGTAACTGACTTACCTTCCGGTATTTCTTTTAGATTTATTTCTATTTTTGATAGTGCTAGAACATCTTTTGAAGGTGCCATCACCATAACATGGCTGTGGAACGGAATATCTGTTATGTTTTCGAGTCTTCACTATAAGATTCATAAATAAAATGCGCCATGGAATTTGTTGATATTTAATGAAAGTCCATGGTAATGTAGGTATTTATATGCAACACTTCATTGCGAGTTTTTATTATGTGTATATGTATATAAATATATATGCCTATATATTTGTTCATAATCAGAATCAACCATTTTGATGGATGCCAAGAGGGCGTTTCCATTTATAACTTACCTATATATGAATCCTTTAGTAGCATACAAACTCACGACTGAAAAAGTTGCAGACATTAAATATGTAAAACATTTTCGGGAGTCTTCTGAGTCTGAAGCTTTCTCATCTGAATTCGCAACACTTCCCCTTCTGTATTTTGAAAAGTCCGGAACTTGAATATCAGTATGAGATTTCCGGAAACCATTTAATAATAATAGATTTTGAATTGGGGAGTATTTCTTATGCACCAAACCTAAATTTCTGTTCAAATGGTTCATAACATCTAACAGAAATACTTTAAACATCATTCTGACATTATACCTTTTATTTATATTGCTAAAATGGATATGACATGACAACTAACTTGAAAAATAGTATATTATGCAACGATCATGTAATGATGGTTATTAAGACACGAGCATTATCCGGGATACGAAACGAGCCGAAGGCGAGTTTTGTATGGTATATGCGAGTGTATTAATAACCATTACATGAGAGTTGCATACGCTATTTTTTCTAAACCCGATAAATAATGAAAAACTATAAATATTATATTTGTATTGAACACATTTACAGTAATTAACTCATATTTTTTTAAAAAAACACAAACTTAATGGTATTATCATGGATATATGAAAACTATAAAGATTCTAATTATATTTATATTGAATATAACAACTGTAATTAATCTGATCTTTTAAAAATATTGGAGTCGATGGTATTCCTTCTATATCGCTGTTTTCAGACATTTTGATAATATAGGTAGGTAATATGAAAACTGATTTTGACAAATAAAGCAATTAGTTACTTAGGTTAGAATATAGGACAAACAAAGGAACAGGATTCTTGATTGAAAAATTATGGGTTTCTATTGGTTGATAATCTGTATCGTTATGAAAAATCTGTATCATAATGGATATCATTATGAAACGGATTATGGTCATTTAAGTGTATTGTTAGAGTACGGGTGTAGAAAAAGGAATATAATGTCACAGGTTGGTATATAGATCTTTCAATGAGGTTGACGAATACATATAGGTACTCTATGAATGAACACGTCTGTTGTATAGTGGAACATGTGTTGTGGTTCTATGAACTGTCCAGTGAAAATCTCAGAGTGAAGTGTTATTTGGATATGTTATGGATTTTCATCAAGTAAGGGCCAACTCCATCACATAGAAACACGTTGATCAAAGCACGCTTTAGAGAACGACTACATGATAAATGAAAAATCATTGATATTGATGTGACTGGTGTTATAATAACAGGGGAATAGAAATATAGGTATAAATTAGTTACTGGCTATTAACATAATCAAGATACAACAAACCAACAAAATAACTGATACTAGCTATTCATTTACTGACACTCATTAAGTGAACCCCATTACGAAAAATATAATGGTTCATCAAGATGTATATAAAGAAATCTAACCTAGTTTTGGTTGAAGTCAATTATTTATTATGTCAACTTGGTTAGAACAAGGGTCGAGAGACAGTGTAGCGGAAGTGTTTCCATTATATAATTTTTCAGCAGAATTTACAATTCTACCTATCAAATATCCTTTGAATTCTGTTGCCAATCATTTTATTCGGTATTTTAAAAGTTAATTTTTATAGAACTAATTCCAGAATCTAACCTCCCAATGGCATTATTTAATGATTTTTAGCATCAACTTTTGTGAGTTCCATTTAAACGTGCATTGATATCAGCGATTTGTTAGCTATATAATCTTTTTAACAAACGAACGGAGCTATAAGTTTTCAGTTGATTTGGTGATGGCAACATTGGCAACATAGTTGTCGTATGTCTATGTCAAAGTCGGACGTCTGGGATGCTTTCTTCTGAAAACTGATTTAGTTTTAGTACTTTTTGCTAGTTTAAGCGTTATTTTGGTAATAGAAATCGGTTTATAGGAAAAAAAACATCAAATGTAAAGGAAAATATAACCCTTTCAATTTAAAGTTGTAATATTCTGTAAGACGATTTCTTCATCATGTAATATTTTACAATTAGTGGTTAGATTCAAATACCTTTTAAAAAATGGTTCTTTTAGTATAGGACAATACTTATTTTTAGTTTTTGTCTACTTTTTTGCATTATAGTGAGAATGGCTAAAGAAGAAGAATACGATAACCTACCAGATAAAGGTGCTGCTAAAGAATTCTATGCAAAGTATGAGCCAAAAGAAATACTGGGGAGGTAAAGCAAAGTCCTCAATGTTTCTTATATTTTTACAGCTTAGATTTTCAGAGGTATCTCTTCAACTGTTCGAAGGTGCATAGAGAAGGAAACTGGAAAGGAATTTGCTGCGAAAATAATTGATTTGAGTACAAGTGATGGTGTACATGATAGCTCTTCTCTTGAGGCAACTAGACAAGAAATTGATATTTTGAGGCATGTTGTGGGACATCCTTACATTAGTGAGTAACTTCAGCGGTTATATTTGAATGACTGAATGTGATTTTTTATTGATTTCAGTTGAATTGCAAGATGTCTTTGAATCCAGAACATTTATATTTTTGGTATTTGAGCTATGCAAACACGGTGAATTGTTCGATTATTTGACATCAGTAGTTGCACTTTCAGAGAAGAAAACAAGGTATATTATGAAGCAAATATTAGAGGGAGTTCAACATGTTCATTCAAGACATGTTGTTCACCGAGATTTGAAGCCAGAAAATATCCTTCTTGATGACAACTTGAATGTAAAAATTACTGACTTTGGATTTGCTAAAATTTTGAAAGACGGAGAGCTGTTGCAGGGTAATTCTTTCAAAATTTGATTTCAGTGTCTATAGAAAAACTATATACCTAGTATAATAGTTATACTAGTATTGGAAAATTATTTCTGAGTATTACATATCAAATTTTAGATTTATGTGGCACTCCTGGATATCTTGCCCCAGAAACTTTAAAATGCAACATGTTAGAAGATGCTCCAGGATACTCTTTTGAGGTGGATATGTAGGTTGGCACAATGGTAATAATCAATTGTATTTGTTTTTGAAATGATTTTATATTTTTTCAGATGGGCATGTGGTGTTATCATGTATACACTGTGAGTATTTGAAATTCTGAATAAGGCCTATTCTATTCAAATTTCAGTTTTTGTTATGCATAATTAAGACACTACACATTATGTAACATACATCACAATTATTAATAAAAAAATGTTTACTTCACATCTACTCCATCTTCTGTTGATAGTTTCTAATATTATATTCAATGATTCACTCCTTGAAAAGACATTTTCAAAACACTATTCTTATTCAGGTGCCTTAATATATGAGAAATTATCAATCAAAAATACATTTTTATTCAATTAACTCTTGTGCAGTATTTTATTTCCCATTTAAGGTTGGTGGGTTGTCCACCTTTTTGGAATAGAAAACAAATGGTGATGCTCAGAAATATAATGGAAGGAAAGTATTCATTTTCTTCACCAGAATGGGCAGATATATCAGGTTAACTCTCAATGAATAATTGTCAATTATCTTCCTAAAATCATTATTGGTTTCAGAATCACCAAAAGATCTAATTAGAAAAATGTTGGTTGTTGATCCTAAGAAACGAATAAGCTTAGAAAAAGCTTTAGCTCATCCATTTTTCCAGACAGTGGTAAGTACTTTTCAAATTACTGATCGTGTTTTCATTTATTAGTTTATGTTTTGAATTTAATTTTTTCTGACTTTCAGTGTTTCTCCATCAATATTTTCTTTGAGAGTAATACCATTCATCAATTTTTTTTTAAGTACTCAAATTAACGAAATTAACGCCATCCAAGAGGGGCCATAAATTGATTAATATCAAACTGTGTATCTTTTCAGTAGGTACACAGCATGAGACATGGCCAGTGAGAGATTGACATTCTGTACAAATAAGAATCTGTGTTATAGAAAAAAGATATTTTGGAAAAAAAAAAAACGCAAATAAGTAATCGAATACAATCAAGGGTTCTAGTCAATACAACTTTTGTGCACAATTACGGGGCAGTACATATGACGGGTCATGGTTTATTGTGTCTACTGTAGATATATTTATCGTGTCCAAGAAAAACAATTTTCATCACAGGGCGATTGATAGAAAAGCTAATCGACCTGGAAATAAGTCTCATCAAATTGGTTACTTTCAGTCACATGGCACATTCATAGGATAGAAAATAACCTATGAATTAATTTTTAAGAATACATATTCAAAATATAAAACATATTACAGTCAATATATTCAAAGCCGGAAATATTTCATGAAAACAATATAATGGGTTAGATATTGCAGTATTGTGTATCTCATTACAAAAACATTAACTAAAATATTTACATAATGTTCATTTAACAAATTTAGTTTAAGCGTTTGCAGTCTTCATTCATAGGGTTTAGTATTTATTTCTCTTTCCCTGACAATTCACAGCTTTTCAAGCATTGAAACCCATTTCTATTCTGCACTGTGATAATATTTCAGCAACTGTGGGATCAAGACATAGCCCCACTGAAACAATCATTGAGAAAATCTAGCAGGCGCTTTAGTCGTATTTCTGAACTGGCACTGGTAAAATATTTTGAAAATCATATTTTGGGTGCTTTTCTTCTGTTACTAACGTTTTATACAAGAAGAATGAAGGCATGTAGGCCGCATAAACCTCAATACATGAGAAAAAATTATATATAACACAATTTTGAATCGACTAAAGAGGAGAACCTTGAATACAGCAATGGTTCAGTGTGAGAACTTGGTCTCTGGGTGAAGCAATCTTGGCCGAGATTATTTTTGATGAGCTTTCTGATGCAATATCTTCGGCTATAATAGGAATCACACTTTGAAAGTAAAACCTCATTAATTCATTAGTTCATACAAGTTTTGATTCTTGAAGGTTGCTTTTAGTAGAGGATTTTTTGTTAAGTAAAAAAATGTTTTTTTTTGCTGTGCTGAACAGCACAATATTGGATTGATCGAGAATTCTCCACCAATTTCCTTAAATATTTTGTTAAATATAATGCTTAAACCATTCACTTTGTCTATATTACCTTTCAAATGAACAGTTCAATCTGAAACTATGTTCAATTGATTTGATCGTATTGTGATTCGACTGACAATGTAAGTTCCTCATGTGGCATACCTCACACAGAAAAAAACCTCGAGTTCGTTAGTGAAAAGAAATGTTTATTGGATCTGGACGAACAAACCTAAAAATAAACAGAAGGGAACAATGTGGATATTTCCAAATGAAACCTTATGAGAATTGTTCACACAAATTCCTACTCAACCATTTGTTTGCCAAAATAGTATACACATGATCAGGCACTCATGTTGTTTTGAAAGTTGATTGAAACATATGTAAAAAATGGTGAATATACAGGGCTATTCAAGTTCGTTTCTGTATATGGGGATCTCGTAAACGATAAGAGATAGAGTGTCGGTTAAATTATGGCAAAGTTGCATATTTTAGAGACCTATTCATTGGTGTAAAAAAATCAAATATAGCTCTTTTAGTTCTAGAGATATACAGGAAAAACAAAAAAATCTCAAATTATTTTTGCCTATATCTTCTTTATTTATTCACAGACATAGTGAAACTCTGTCCACATTTTGCTATTGGCTCTTGATTTTTTATACAGGGTGTCATCTGACTTGGGTCACCCCCATCTTTGAATTTTTAAATGCGGACCTGTATATTTCGAGTTGTTGGGTAATATTTGATTATAATTGTGTGAATTATTGCCTTTTGAATTACGGACCTGGAAATTGGTTGACTGAGTTGAATAAAAACACAATAGCAACTTTCACGTCTTCCTATGTGCCGTAGATTTCCGAAACGAATACTATAATTGTAATGAGAATTGAAATGAAGTAATTTATATACACAAAAAAATTAATGGCGCAATGAATGTTCGAATTGGAGTCCTTCCATTTCGAGACATTTTTGAACTCGGTTTTTCAAATTATTTATTGCCCTTAACACACTTATTTGCTGCATTTTTGCGAAATCATTCAAAATCATCAATCTCGAGTCTTCCACATTTTCTATCTCTCTGCCAGCGTAGGTAAATCATATTTTTCAATGTCCCCCATAGAAAATAGTCCAAAATAGTAAGATCTGATGATCTTCCAGGCCATTATATTGGCCTAGTATTTGTTTCGAAATGGAAGGACTTCAATTTGAACATTTATTGTGCCAATAATTTTTTGTGTATATAAATTACTTCATTTCAATTTTCATTACAATTAATAGTGTTGGTTTTGGATGTTATTATTGCTATCATTTCTTTTTCTGCTCATCAAAACACATATAATATATTTTCGTTGTAGATATGTTTCAGATAATCATGAAAGGTTTTCTTATTCGAAGTTCATTGTAGAAAACGCTCAGAGGAATGGAAATATGAATAGGTACTTGAAAAAAACTCTCCAAAAACTCTATGGTTCATAGGGAGACGTAAAAGTTACTATTGTGTTTTTATTTAACTCAGTCAACCAATTTCCAGGACTGTAATTTGAAAGGGAATAATTCACCCAATTATAATAATATATTACCGAAACATCCCCAAATATAAAATAAAATTCAATTTCTCAGTATGAAGTGAACGTCTACGATCCAAAAACTACAACGAATAATTCACCCAATTATAATAATATATTACCGAAACATCCCCAAATATAAAATAAAATTCAATTTCTCAGTATGAGATGTAGTCAAAAATATAATTTAGGATTTTTTGGTTTTTCCTGTATATCTCCAGAACCAAAAGAGCTATATTCGATTTCTTTACATCATTGAATAGGTCTCTAAAATACACAACTTTGCCACAATTTAACCGACACTCTATCTCTTATCGTTTATGAGATCCCCATGTACAGAAACGTATTTGAATAGCCCTGTATATTGTTAAACAGTCAAACCATTTAAAGTGATTTATTTTTGTTTTTATTATTCTGTATACATAAATAACAAGCATATATGTAACTATATAAAATAACCGAAAACAGTTTTTAGTCAGTTCTACTATTAATTTCAACTCATTCAACAGGTCAACCCATTGCATACATGCCTTCTCCACTTCAACCATCTGTAACTCTTTAACACATTGCCTGTTATAATTCTCTCTTGACATCAAACTGAAACCAATATTAGCTAAAGTGTATTTACTCATTTCTAGAAACTTCATCATACGGAATTCAATGCAAGAAATAAGTTCAAATGGGCCATCTTGGTAGTGCGATCAATGATTAGAATACAAAGGCTTCGATTCACCCCTGAACCATTAAATTTGGCAATAGCACGAACAGACCCATATCGATTAAAGCTTTTGAGAAAGGTAATGGTATTCTTGTTTGTATCAAATGTTGAAAATTAAAATGAATTTTCAAACAAATCTGGTACGCTGAATGTTTCATTTTATTCTATTCCACTTTGGTTTCAGGTCGTTGACGGCTGTGCTTTTCGTGTCTATGGACATTGGGTGAAAAAAGGAGAAGGACAAAATCGGGCCGCCTTATTCGAAAACTCGCCAAAAACAGAGCTAAAACAGATATATTTGGCGAACTTGAGTCGATAGTAATTCGATATATTAGATAAATTTGGTTGACAGTTTAGGTTAATTTACTCAGCAGATTATTGTTGAATTCTGTATACTATTTATTTACGTGATATTTGAATTTTTTTTCTGCCTCAATGTTCACAATGCAGTATTGCATATTTTTCCATTGTAGGACTGTTTTGTACATTTATTATTGTTTTCTTTTTTGAGTACCCGCTATTCGGTATTATACAATAATAAATAATTGAATACAGTTGTTTTGATCACCCTTTGATACATTTTTACTTTCTCCATTAATAACCTCCAAGGTAACATAGAAGTCATATAGACTTCCATTACACATATATCTTCAAAAATATCACCACCAGCAATACACCCTTTGTTGGAATTTTCTCTGATGTAACATAAAAATCTTAACATTCTGATCTAATTTTTTTGATGCTCCTCAACTGCAAAAACCTCCAGAGGTACATTTTGAATACACTAGATATAAATAATAATTGGAAAATGTTTATAATTCAGTTTGTTTCAAGATTGTTTGGATGATAGCCAGTTGGTTAGTGATTTCCACTCATGATTGGTAAAAGTTAATATCTCGTTTGAATTTGAAGGTTTTTCGTTTATAGAAACCACAGTTGTTCACTCGGAAAACTAATTTTTAACTAAAACTCATGTTGACTGCCATTATAACTGCAGAAGGTATTCTTCAAATTTAATCAATAAGGTCTCAGAAAAAATCTTGATATATCCGAGCCTACTCAAGAAGAAAGTTCCCTTAAAAGTTATTATTCCTTCCAAAAAGAACTAGAAATTGGTTAAGGGATTTTTCAAAAATGTCCATGGAATATCAGATACACACAAAGTAGAACAAATGGGATCTCTAGCAAACCTATATAAGAGATTAAACACCTATTATGTTTCCTGAAGAATTACATAAGATCTATTACATCTTCTCGATGTAATTACAAAAACATCTTGTGCAGCTAATCAAACTACAAAGTTAAATGTGTACCGTTTTCCAAAAAGTTCAAAAAATGTCCCTGATTCTATGACTTTTCTATAAATCATGTAACACTGGACTTTGGAAACTCGATATTTACATCTTCTTCAAAATATTTTTTTATGGAATATCCAGTTTGACTAACGTATATGTCATAACAATCTTTGATACTAATTTCATAAATTATATGTATGTATAATATTTTTCGTTATTAAGTCTTCAAAGTTGCATTAAATTTGCATTTCCAATATGTTTTATGTTATTTTTATATTGAGTGTTTCAAATGTATGATCATACCTAAGAACCATTCCTAGAGATCTATCTTAGTAATAATAAATACCAATAATAATTTAAAATTTTGTGTTTAGGAAGATCACCTTTACATTCAGATCTTGACTGCTCTCACTATTATCCACAACAAAAAATGACAGGACTATATTTTTTTCATTTATGGGCTTGTTGCTATACTTGCTTGACTTCAAAGTCAATAATTAAGAAATGTAAATTAAGATAGTATGAACTAAGTTTGCATAAAATATGATGAGCTATCTCTGTCTCTTTGTTGCATTGACTGCAGTTGAGCTCTCCGTTGTACAGCCCTTAATACACTCAGAGAAGTTCTCTTATCCTATTTTTGTGGACTCCTTGGTGTTTGTTTTTAGACTATTTTTGAAGACCTGAGGTCCCTTCGAGAGTATTTTATAGAATTAGGCAAAAACTTAGGCCTGTTCAACATTCCCCATGAATCTCTTTTAGATTTACTTTTTTGTATTCAGTTATGGACCTTTTGATTTTATTGGCCTTTTAAAAGGTTAGTTTTTAATCTGACCGCTATCAATTTCCTGCTACAAAAATTACTCAACATGAGCATTATACTCTTTTTCAGATAATTATGCCGAATCTCTCCGAATCTCATTATATTTCCTTTGTAGACTCAGAGTATGAGAGCAATATCAAGCTTTTCCATAACCTTTGTAGAACTATCAGAGCTGCCTTACTGTTTTGTAGGTTGCCTCATACTACTCTCATCGAGCCAGAGGAATTCCTTTCATTTGTAATTGTGTCCATTAAGTTCACACGAGTATGGGGAAAATGGTTTATCATTTCCATGGAGCCCTCTAAATAGTCTACATGGATATAAGGCTAAATACTCTGGGAGGTTACTTCGTATACCAGAGACTTGGTGATACCTGACAAGACCTAGACACCATTTATCCTTCTTTTGCATAACAACACAACAGGTAAGGGTTACTAGGGACTACTCTATCCCAGGTGACTTTTCTTCCTCAATTCGTCCGGCTTGGGAGGCTCTATCAGTATGACCATCTCATACAGAAATTTTCATAATTAATTTATCAACATAATATGTTGATACTACTATATTATAGTAGCAGCACAATAGTATGCTACACAGGCTATTGAATATACTACAAACATTTTTCAACTCTAGAATTGAAAAAAGTTTGTGAAAATTGTTGTATTATAATCATGTATAATGTTATTAATTTTCATCATCATAAACAAGTTGCTATCGACAACTGTTACAAGGTAGATACCTATCATCAACATTAAAAAAAAACAAAAACAAATAATTTTCTAGGTCTATCTTACTTCAAGAAACGATAATGAGAATTATAGGACATTGACGTACTTTGGCCAATAACATCGCTCGTTTTTGAAAAAGAAAAACTTTGACGTGGCAAATAATTCAAACAAATTTGTTAAAAACAATGAACACTTTTGGATAGATCAGGAGTATATAAGTTGACTTGTGGTTCTTGCCCAAAACTTTATATTCGCCAAACGGGAAGAACCTCCCAAATAATAAAAGAACAGAAGTATTAGAGAAAATCAGGGCTGGTAGACCATGTAAATAGGAAAGTAGTTGATTTTACTAGTTCGGACTTCCATTGTCTAATATGATTCAAAAATCTATGAAAGAACAAATAAAATTAGAATTAATAGGTACAATATCAATTATATTAAGCAATAAATCGTGAAATGAAAATACAATAAAACAAATGAAAAAAATTCAACCCAAGTTACTTCATGACGTTTCATTTGTTAGTATCCACTGTGTAGTCTATATACAATGGTATCCACAATCGTTAGTTTGGAATCTTTTTCAATTTTTTGCTTATTATTTTTTCATTTCTTTTTACTATATGATCATTTTCATTTTGATTATTTTCTTCGTTTTATTGTATTTTCATTTCACGTTTCATTGCTTAATATAATTGATATTCAGCTATCATTCTAGTTTTATTTGTTTATATATTTTGAATCATATTAGACAATGGAAGTCCAAACTAGTAAAATTCACCATGAAACATTGTCAATTACTTTCGTTTGAAAGTAGTTGTTTCGAAAGGATATTTTTCCCTTCCTGTATTTCAATATTGTCTCATTTGTCTCTTAAAGAAACTTCTGTGTATGCTTTACATAATCTTCATATAGAATTTTTATTGTAGATATTTTTTTTATTCCTTTCTTTAGAAGATTCCACATTTTGTATTTAATGATGAAGAAGTAGAAAGCCAAAAAGTTTTTTTCTCTAAAAACTATATTTTCCTAAAAATATTCCCATTTCAATTCAAATTCAATAAATTAAATGAACAAATAGTTGGAGACTTAAACTCCTTTGTAAAGTAGATATATTTCATACTTTCAGTTGTTTTTATGTAAATAACTTTGACTCATAAGTATTCATATTGTATGTACCTATATATTAATAAAACCATGATAAATATTAAATGTTTCACATTACATCATTTTTATTGAAAAATATGTCATTTTTTAATGTCTGTATTTGTAAAAAAAAGACAGTACTCTAAGAATAAGTGAACTAAAATACATTTTTTGCCATTGTTTTTTCTTGTGATGCACTGTTTGGAACCTTTGGTATGGTAATGAATATTACTGGAGTTTTTTCCCAACACCAAAACGTTATTTAACACCTCGACACGTGGAAGTTTAATCTTCCTCTTAAAGATGATCACTTGGTGATCGAAACACGTGTCGAGGTGTTAAAATAACGGTTTGGTGTTGGGAAAAAACTCCAGTAATATTCGTTTTTTTTTTTCATAGCTGCATTTGTGAAAAAAAACGTTACTGTAAGTAAACTGCAATACATTTTTTTGGCTATTGTTTTTTTTCTATAGTGAAAAGCGAAGAAATAAAAATAAATTACTTGACAAAAAAATAGTTCAATGAAGTCATATTCCATTTGCTGTCAAGATTATTTCAATTATTTGTAGCCGAATTTTCACGAATAAATAATAATACTATATATATTCAAAACATTTATAAACAATTCGGTTCACAAAAAATTAGCTCATTACACAGCTTCAAGAACATTTACACTAATAATTTTAAATAAATACAAATTTGTGTGATCACAAAAACTAAGCATCTGTTAATGCTGCAACTCCTGGAAGAACTTTTCCTTCAAGAAGTTCAAGACTCGCTCCACCTCCAGTAGAAACGTGAGAAACTTTGTCTTCAGTTCCCCACTTGGAAGCACAGGTGGCTGTGTCGCCACCACCTGGAAATATATAAATTGAACATAACTATTGAGTAGAAAAAATCAATAAATGAAAAGATAAAACATTTCCCAAATGGACTTTGCATCATTGGTGGAAGACCAATAAGTATGTATGTAACATGAAAAAAAATTCAAACTACTTCTTCTGAAACAGCTATCTGACTTGTTCATTTCATATAAGTCTTGGGAAATGCATCATGGACTTATTGCTTTCTTTCTATCATCCGTTCAATGCAAATGACATGAGACTGATTGGTCTCACAACCTTTTCCCAGTTCTGTCTGATGTTTCCAAGTTTTAGAATATAGGTCATCCTTATCATTCTGCATGTTTTTGTATGAATCCCAAATCCAAACTTGCTACGACGATTACACACAATTTTTTATGTAGAAATATTAGACATGTTTTTAAAGCATTATTGCATAAATGCTATCCAGTCCTGGCGACTTATGTAGTTGAAATGAGTTTACAGCCTACTTATTCTTCTCCAAATTTACACTTTCTTTTGTACCAGCCAATCCTTCCTGGAGTCCCTTTTTAGGAGATTTCAGTTCTGAATTCATTCAGGAACCCAGTGTAACATTTGTAATTTCTGAAGTGCACCCGAGAAGCTCTCGTATAGTCTCTTCTTGTGTTTTTATGTGCTCTTTAGTATCATTTATCGAGACCTGTGGTCCCTTCGTGATTTATATTATTTCATTAAAACGTTCCATTTGACAGTGAAAGGTACTCACCAATTATGGTTATTGTTCCCTTCTTTGTTACCTCAACAACCTCGTCCATTATGGCCTTAGTTCCTTTGGAAAATTTTTCAAACTCAAATACACCAGCTGGACTGTAACACAAAAAAATATGGTTATCAATCTAGAAATTTTCACATAAATGAGTTACCCATTCCACACAATAACTTTTGCTCTTCTTATTGGATCTCTGAACTTTTCAATTGTCTGTTGACCAATATCAAGTCCCATCCATCCATCGGGAATACCGTCTTCTACGGCAGCACAACTGGACTGAAAATATGAATATCTCTAGGTAGATTCATTCCTTTGATTATTTTTCATAAATTTCTGCTCAATTATAGCAAGCCAACAACATATGTAAAAGATAAAATTAAAACTAACATTAATTTAACATACACATTGATAAAAATCTAATGTGTTATAACATACAAATGAGGGAATAATAACTGGTGTTGAGTTCAGTTCACTTCGTTCAAGTTATCCAAAATTATACCTTGCTACCCAGATAATCGCAGAGTAAGAGAGATGAGTATGAAAATATGAAAAATATAATACATGTAATTTAAAAACAAAAAATACTTACATTGGCATTTTCATCAAACTTATCGGCAGTTACAAAATCAACAGGCAAGTGAATTAGAACATTGTTTTTCTTGGCCTTTTCTAGTAAATTATTAACTATTTTTGCTCCTTCAGCATCGTAAAGGGAAGTTCCAATCTGTAACAAATGACGAGTTATCCATATTTACCTAGACGAAATAGGTAAGATATTAAAACATTCTGTACAAAAAATTCAACAAATCAAGTCAACAGTCTTGAAAATAAAAATAGATTCCTGTCATATCTGTTCTGTCATCATCCAAAGAAACACTGTCAAAAAGTGATTTTTGTGAGTCAGTATCATCTTCAACCAAATTCAAGAGTCAAGCAATTTCAATAAATTCATATAGTCTATGAATCACCTTGATTAATAATTTTAAAATACCATTTGGTAAAGATGTCTCTGTACAAGGAAACAGTGTCATATCAATCGTTTGATGAGCAGCACTGCTTAGATTATGTCATGCAAAATTTTTTTTATTACTTGAAAACTCATGGAAATAATGAAACCAAAATAATGGGAGGGAGAAAAATTACTAGCCGTATTCCGAAGGTATCAAGTTCTATACACTCATATCTAAATTACAGAAGAAATATTCATAATAAATTAGCCGAGATCAACGCTAATGTAAGTAGTATGATAATAGACAGTTTCAGAGGAATTGACACCATATGTTTGAGAGTAAGGCAATGCATTTCCGAAAATGAAAATATCTCAAGGTAGGTGAACAAAATTCAATCACAGGTTTGTAGTTCTGTTATTGCTTGATCGAGTATTTAGAGGCAAAAACTTTTGTTCCAGGGTCAAACCGATTTTTGATGACATGCTTTGCGAAAGTGAACCCCAACAGAAAGTTGAAAAGGTGGACTCTGTAGAGAATTTGACCAAACGAATTGAAGAAGTAAATTTGGCCCAAAGTATCAGCAGATCTGAATATTATCCGAAATTGTTAAGACCAAAAAACAAATTGACGGCTGCCAAACTCGCGAGAAAAATCAAAAAAAGAAATGAGTTGCTGGAAGAATTTCGAGAGACTATTATTGAGAATATAAAAAATGATGACTATGAAATGATGGAGAAGATTGTAGAAAATTTAAATGAAGAAATCGAGTCTTTTACCATCGATACAGAAGTAGAATGCAATATCATACATTGCAAATCAAAACATTTGGAACAAAAAGAAACTCAAACACAACTCGAAATAGAGAAATCAACTCGAAGTAATGAATTACTAATGAAGTCCAACTCGACACTCAAAGTAGAAATGCCAAAAATGTCACCTATGCATACTGAAAATTTGTCTGAAGAGATAAGTGATTTTTCATTGATGAAAAAACTACCTTTTTGTGAGAATTCAGTAATACCAGAAGTTTATAGTAGACCTGGTATTACTGACATCAATAAAAAACTAATAACTCAATTGGAGGCTAATGATAGCTTCATTTGTTTTCAAAGACTAATGGGAAAAAATAAGAGGAAAATGAATAAATTTCTGAAAAACTACCCTAAACCAGATATAATTGACATAGATTCGGTATCATTTGTAGACTGCCAAGATACTATTTCAAAAATATCCTCCAGAGAATCTTGCAGAAGCCAAAGAAAAAGTCGAAAGCCAATGACTAAGAAGTCTACAGGAAAAAAAGATGATCTTGCTTTATCTTCCTCACAATCAATTTCTCGAAAATCGATTTCGAAGCAAACAATTTCACCGAATTCAGTTTCTGGAATCTCTATTTCAAACAAACTACTATCCAAGAAATCAATACTCAAATCTGGAATTTCCATTTCAAACAGATCAGTGTCTCAGAAGTCCATAGCAAAGTCTGGAGTTTCTATTTCAAGCAAATCGTTGTCAAAGAAATCCCTAGTGAAGTCTGATGGTGGGAGTTACCGAGAGAAGAAAATTTATATGAAACCTGATCTTGGAATAAAATATTCTGATAGTTTATGGTTTTCTGATAGGTACATGAAAATAAAAAATAATTCGAAAAACGAAAAAAGTAGTAAGAGAGTCAGAAAAGTTTCAAGTAAACAAAGTGGAAGTCAAATGAAAAACAGGCGGCCTAAAACTGAGCAGACACGAACATCAAAGAATTCCTTAGCTGATTGTCTAAATGATGATGACACAAGTAATTCGAAATGTGCTACAGGTATTTTAATTATTCTTAACTGGCCAATTCTTTTTGAAAAATATTTTTGTTTTATTTTGTAAGCATTAATTTTCATTCCTCTAAAATACCATGAATGTAGATTCGCTAATATTCAAAATCATCAAAGAACTTTATATAATAGGTAACGGGTTCATAAAAATCAATTTGTTTCAGGTTGTTTCTGTGGAATCAGTATCAATAATGACTTGCCTTCGTCGTCCAATACTAAATGTCGCTTGAGGTGGATGCGTGCAAAAAGTGATCAAACTCAAGTTCGAAAGCTAGAATTTTTGGATATATTAGATGATCTCACACCCAAGTAAATACGACAGAATATTATTAAGCTTAAATAATTACATCCATTTTTTTAGAGACTTATTACCTTTACATTCTGAATATCCGAGAAAAGACATTGGTCCCGATAATAAAAACGTTGAAGACACCTATTTATTTAAGCTTCTGCAAGGAAATCAAGATAATGGAATGTGGAAACATTTGCTACAACCCAGCTTAGAATGTACGGATAGCAACTGTACATGTTGTTTGCAAAAATGTGAAAAAGCTGAAAGCAGAACACAAAACAGAACAAGTGAATCAAAGGTGAACAAAAAAATTTCTCGAAAATTTGAAATATTGAATAATGTCTTGAAGTAAACAGTTATGGTTTAACTAGGACTTCAATTTCAAACGTTTCAAATGTCCAAAGTATTTTAAATCTCTAAAATCACCCCCATAATCATTAATCAACCTCTATTTGAAAAGTTTATGTATTACTGAACCATTAAATGTAACATAAAACTGAAAAAGTTACATATAATGAACAAATTATCCGGACATTGAAATATAAGTGTTTGAAAACATACTTTTCATACTATTTCAGGTATTTTCGAGAGAAACAGCGCTAGAAAAACTCTCCCCTTACATCCAAAAACCACAAATCGACAAGAAATACTTTCAGTTTGTAACCATATTACCTGTGAGAGTTTATTATGACCGTTATAAAACAAACGAAAAGTTTCCAAATCAAACTACTTCTAAATCAAGTCCTATTCGTCCTCAGAAACTGCCATTATTACCGATAAAAGAAGTGAAAGGTGTGGACAGAGCAAGGTGGATTTCTCCAAGAAGCTCAAACCGTAAGAGAAGACAATAATAATATTTAAACTTATGAATCAAACTAAAAATATGATATATTGTCATGAACTCAACTGAGTAACTTTTGTGACTAACTATAAATTAAATTATCAAAAATTCTGTCTGTGTTGTACAAACTTTTATATGTTCCATTCACAAAAAAATGTAAAAATTTTTCAAGGTGTTAAACATCTCTTCATTGGGTTCACTTTTAACATGCATAAGATTTTTATGAGGTGGTTATTTAGGATATAGATTAATGGTAAATAAGTATTTATTTTGGGTAGGATGGAAATTAAAGGATGATATCATTAGTCAGAAATATTAATTTCATGAAAAATGAGAATTGAAACTTTCTATGTTTTTTGACTCTTTTATTTGTAACTAACGTTACCGCAGTTTTGTCCTATAAGGACATTTGTAAACTTAATACTTGTTCGTTTAATGTATACATTTGAAAATGTCCTTATAGGACGAAACTGCAGTTACGTTAGATACAAATAAAAGCGGTAAAAACATAGAAAGTTTCAATTCTCATTTTTCATGATGATTTCCTACCACGTAGTAACGGCTACATCCATCAATTTATTAATATTAATTTCTTTTATGTTGAAATGAATCTTCTTTTTGTGAACGTTTCTATAATGAATTAGAAGTCTTTTATACAACATATTCCAAATATTCTTAGTGAGATAATAAATGATATTTTGAAGCTATGAAAGTCGTATATGACAATGTCCGGAGAAAAAATGAAACTACATCAATTATTACACCAGCTAATAAACTGATGGTGAACAGCGCAAGGCAACAAGAAGGAAAGATAGCCGCGAAGAAAGAAACAAGTAAATCTTTTTCACCAAAAGGTAAGATTCATACAATCAATGAATTTCATTTTAATAAAAGGTAAAACTGTAACCTTAAGCATAGAATAAATCCAAAGCAAGCACTTTTCCCAATCACCAGAACTGCAATACTCTTCTCGACGTGCGTTTCACCAACCAAGTTGGCGTCTTTAGGAGATAAAGAAAACAGTTTTTTTCATCTTCTGAAGACGCCTAATTGGTTGGTGAAACGCACGTCAAGAAGATTGGGAAAAGTGCTTGTTTTGAATTTTATTTTAAACTAGTCACTAATTAAATTTATAACTGACCACCTACAACATTTCCCAATACAAACCAAACCAATATGGTTCGTTTTGTGTCAGTCGTATTAGACATTTTCAGAGTTTATTGTATATGTTTGAAAATGTCCTAATAGGATGAAACTGCAATAACGCTAGTTACAAATTCAAATGGTAAATAACATAGAAAGTTTTATTTTTCATGATGATTTACCACGTAGTAACGGCTATATCCAGCAATTCAATTTTCAAATTTTCAACTAAGAAACTTTGGAACTCTGAGAAACGATAAATATAGTGGAATCTGACGGCAAAAGCTTCACCCATCTCATTTATTGAGTTTCAATTATCCCATCCTCATATGTGACTCGTCAAATCAAATAAAAAATGTGTGTATCCACATATATGTATATTTTATGTTGAAACATTTGTCAATGTACTTTAAAAAGTTTGCAATCTGAATTGTATTGTATATAGTATGTTGGTTTATGAATAATCTATTTTTCTCATTCAATCAATTTTGAGACAGTTGAGCAAAAAGCAATTAGTTTGAAAGTTGAAGGAAGGGCCAACTCACCACCTTTATGGATTGGCACAATAACTGCCGTTGGCAAACATGAGGGAATGACACCACTAACAAAGATTATGCTTATTCTCTTCATTTTTTGTTCATTTAAACATTTGTTTATTATATAGTTCATTAAAGTCATCCTATTGTATTTTTATGTTCAACTATAATCCAGTGCAACAAATTCGCCCGAAATCACTAGTAAATATAAGACCTCTTTAATCCTTGGCTCGCAAAAGCTTATACTTTTGAGGGTTGTAATTCATAAATGAGCGACAGCTGGTAAACGAAAAAAAAAAACATTTTAAACATCATTTATAATTTTAAACTCATTAAACTTTTTCCACACCCCAACTAGTGCACTGTAAGTTTTAGTTACCTCCGGCTGATGCTAGCTTAGTTAGGGAAATACGTGTCGAGAGATAGTGTCTGTTGGATAATATAGGACCTGACACAAAATCTTGTGGACTTCCACATTTAAACTACATAGTTTATTGTTCAAATTGATTCCCACATTTGTTTGTATAAAAATGGAGAAGCAGAAAGTCAAAATCTTTTTATCCCAAAATAGTTTATTGGTTCTGACTTGTTGCACTTTTCATTTTTTATGCAATCACTGAAAAGGCGATATGAATACAACTCAGTTACCAAACTAGGTTGAAAAAACCTGAATTTGAGGTGGAGTCCGAAAAACATCTTATACACTCTACAAAATGTACAAATTTGAATTTTTTTAAAGGTTTTGGTCAATACTGCTCCACAGAAAACCAGAAAAGTGTATCAAAACAAAGTTATGTTGCTGCTAACAAAAAACTGGAAAAATATATAAAAATACAAACAGATATTGAAAAAAAGTCAAAAGATTTCCAAGATAGATCATTAATCGGGTTAGATAAAAAGCTTTGGGCTAATAAGTATGGAAAAGGTGTTGGTCACCAGCTAGTGTCTTTTATAAAAAATCAGCCCAATCACCCTACAATCCCATTACCGAGATATGCTAGGGTGGCTTACAAAAACAAAGATATACCGAGAGAAAACATGAATTTCCCAAGAGGTGAGTTGAAGAAATTTCTTATTTTCATTTTGTTGTACTTTTGCAATAAACTTTATTTTTATTTGAAGCTTCTATAAAAAATAACGTCCGACATAAGCAAGTGCTGGCTCATCTGCAAGGTTTGAAGGAGCAAAATGACGAAATACAGAATAACTTACAGAAAGCTATAAATGTTATTGAAGCAAAGATGATAGATATATTGAATGCACCAAAAGACTCGAGCAGCGTTGAAGCTTTTGATGTGATGGAAAAAGAAATAACAAATGTCTTGAGTATGATGAAATTTAATTCAAAAGGAAGCTCTAGGAAACAGACTCCCAAAAGTGCTGAAAGTAGTGGTAAGCTATTTTGTATCATTTACTGACAGAATATCAATGGAGCTCATGTGAATTTGAACTGTAGCTCCTTTGAAATTAATCAATACAATAATTTACCTGAATTTCATTTCTCAGGTCAAAAGAAACATGACAAATTAGAATCTGACTTCAATTCATTATCAGACCAACTATTCAAGAAATTGGAGAGGATTCTTGATTCGGAAATATCAAAGGGTGTAACTTCGACAAGCGATTCCGACAAGTCCAGAAATAAAGGGGAACAAAATAAACCCAAAAGACAAATACCTCTTAGTCCAAACAAAAACTCAACAGTCAACAAATTTCGGTGAGAAGGAATTTTTGGAGGTCAATTTTAATAAATTTTTTTCGTTGTTATATAAAATTTGACTCTCATTCCAAACTTCACACATTCTATGCTGAAATTATTAATAACCAAATCATTCGTGACATTTATGGTGATAAAAAAAGTGACAATTTACGAATTATTTACTACAAACAGCTTCATCTTCCTGTAAAGTAGATGCAAGTATTCTTGAGATTCCACTTATTTACAAGGTGCAAGTTTCAGATATCAATCATTAAATCGAATCAATCAACAAACTTGGAATAAAAATGTACAATGTGACCTAATGCTAAGACCATGATTTCTTGAGGTGACATTTATTCATCAAAAACTGTTAATTGAGGATATTTGAAACATCATATCTGTTTCTTTATCTGTTCTTTGTTATCCAGTAATGTTCATCATGGAGGATAATAGGATCGACTTTTACTCGTCACTGCACGTTTGGCAGTGAGAATAATTGTAACATTGTATCGCATCTACTTAATTATGGTAATGGAATGTTTCATCATTAACATTAATCTTAGGATAAACGTTAATATTTACTTTATTGGATCGTTTTAGATCTTTAAAGTTGAAAGCAATGTCCTGTAATTATCAAATAAAACTGTGATCCTGAGTTGACAAAATAAGCAGAATGGGTGTTCAAGGAAACACTATATATTGATCATATGATCATAACTCACTGGGTAATATTACCAGAAACTCAACAGATGCACTCTTCATTGAATGAACAAATTAAACAGGAGAATAAACATCCAAATTTAAGAGTAAAGGAACGTTAAAAAGAACAAAATCCTGACTAGTAGGGCGTGATGAAATAGAACCTGAGTTACCAAACGTTTCGTATGCTATTGCGGTAGATATCATCAGCGGTATGTGCGTTTACATCCAGGACAAAAGTTATATCTGAAATCTCAGCAATGAACATTGCTGAGTTTCCATTCGACCATGGCCTACTATCCTGGATTTTGTTCTCATTAGACGTTATAATTATTATTACTATCATAAAAAAATAAAATTACACTTTACAATGAGAGGAACTTTGGCAGAAAATTTTTAGACTTCATGTATATTTCCACAAAAATTGTGATGGATAAACATAAATGAAATTGAACCGGCTTTGTAAGCCAAAATTACATCAGATATCCTAAAATAAATACATAATACAAAAATATATAAGCGACAAGATGAATAACAAGTACCCACAACAAAAGCAAAACCTAGAAAGTGAACACATAAATGTATTGAATTCAATGTATAGAAAAAATGATGACATTCGATGCTTCCTATGAATAGAGAACCAAAACCGGCAATTTTTGAAAAATCATGCAATGATATATTAATGAAAAGTCTTAGTTCATTAGCTTTTTACGTATTGAAGAAGAATTTTTTATCATACCAATATTTTCAATATTGATATTGAACAATGAATGAAATCTTTAGATAAAATTTTGTTGAGAAGCAATTCATTCAAAATAAATAGCATGTGAACTGCGTACAAAACAGGTTATGGCCTCGTGAGGTTTCCTTTCAATACTTACCAAAAAGATAAATAAACAATATTTTGCATTTTTATGAATATATTATATATTACTAGTTGTTCATGAAAACTTTCCACCCTCACTGTACCGTTTTAATGCGGCATTTTGCACGTAATTACAATACAAAACAGTCAGATAACATTAAGTTGCCAATACCTACAATGTTAACTCTCAAATCAATTATATATTTTGGAACAAACATTTATAACCACCTTCTCAATCATTCAAAAGATATTACATCCCTAAAAAAATCAGAAACGAGCTGAGGTGTTACTTATTTAGGACTACTATAGAGGAGTTTTGAAACAAAAAATGTGAATCTATAAAATTGACCTAAATGTCCCGTTTTTACTTTTCAGTCAATTTTAGTATTTATATAAAGAATCTAATTAACTCAAGATATATCTAATTTGTATATTCTCTTTAGTCAGTTTCATGTTTACTTATTTCATTCATTTTATTATATTTATATGCTCTACAGGCTTTTGTCAATGGTAATTGTAATTTCAGACAATGAACAACTTTTGACTGTTGATTAAATCAGCAAAGAAACGTTTTTGGTTTTAGTCAGACACTTTAATCCTATAGGTCTCAATTGATTGAATTCCAACTGCCAGAGTACTTCCTCTCGTGTTATTCAAAGAATACGAAACAGTCTCAAGAATCCTAAAAGCCACGACAACCGCTTCTCTAATTACCAGATAATGTAAATACATAAGATTTAATGTTTCTGCTAAAACTGGAGTAGGGTGCTTAGAGACTGCCTTGTTACTCTCAGATATGTTAGGCGTTGAGTTGAAATTTACTTGTATTATTTTAAAAATAATTGTCATATTACTTTTGATACAAGACATAACCAGAACAAATAACAAAACAGAATTTATTTTTCAGATCTTTGTCAGCAACTAGTACATCCCTGGATGAAAATGTGCAAAAAATATCCAACTTCAGCAAAAGACCCAATAAAAATAAAGGAGGGATAGCGAGAAAATCGAAATTGGGTAAAGGGACACTTCCACTTATACCCAAAAGGGAAATTTTGGAAAAAGACAAAAAAAGTCTTCTTCAGAAACTGAGTGACGAAGATCATACAATCAATAGGATTGAGAGAGACTATGCAACTGGTGAATGTTTCAGCGTTGAAAGCGCAAAAAAAGCCACCACAAATCATAAAACAGTGAGTCAAGAATTTGATGAAACAGATAATAGCAAAGGTGACTGCATCAGGCAAGATATTTCAACAAGTAACAATTTATACTTGAATTCAAATATAAATTATGGAATTAATCTTGTGCTCAGTGAAGACAAATCAGACCTGAATGAACCTACTTTTACAACGGAGATTGTAGAACAGATTACAGAGGAATGCAACGCCAACACAGAGGAATCTATAAATGCAGACTATTTAAATACAGTGGAAGAAGAAAAAATATCAGTTGGCTCCGAAGAAAAGTTAGAAGAAACAATAGCAAATATAGAAGATATTAAATTATCTGAAGAATGTTGTCAAATGCAGTATGATGAACCAGTAATGTTGCCATCAGATACTTTGGAAACTGAAACAGAAGAAACAGACCCTGGCATACGAGAAGAAAAAGACCCCGGCATATCAGAAGAAGTGAACAAGATCATAAAAAGGGTTGAAGATATTTACACCCATTTGGACGATATTCAATTTTCCGTAATGTTTTGTTAATAAATTCCATCTAGATCAGGAAATATTTTGTGTCTGAAAGAAATATTGAAATCTATTACAATAATGAAGAACTATCTCTTGCCAAAATAATTCCGTAGCATATTATCCGTTTACATGGAAAAAAAATCTAATAAAAAAGACACGAAATTATTCCTGGAGTCAAATTTGTGACTTCACAAACATACAGATTTAACTTCAGCTTTGTTTGTCACATTTCTTTATCTTTTCAAGAACATATTTGTTCTTCTTTGTTTCAGAATGATGACCATATACCAGTATTTAGAGATACATATGAAGTACCTAATGTTCACAGTCAAGAATTCCTCACACCATTTATGCAAGCAGTAAAAGCTAAGCGCACTAGACCTGACACACCAAGAACAGCAGCTTTGCATAGAAGCCCGTCTTATTACAACGTCCTGAGTTTTTTAGATACCCTAAGCTATATTCAACAAGAAAAACCTTTAGAGGTACACACAACACGGTTATGCTATTATTGTCTAATCTATCACATTCCCGAAATTTTTTACCAAGCGAAACTAGAATTCCCAGCAAATTTAAAAGAAATTGAAAAACCAAGTTGTCTGAAAAAAATCAGCGATGAAAGTAAAAGTAAACAAAAAAAAGTATCTTTTTTAGTTTTGAAAGAAAACAAGAGCTGTCAAGTCGAAATAAGTTCACTCCAAAATACCAAAGCACTGAAGGTATCTTCACAACAATTTCCACCAATTTCAATTCCTGAAGAAGCTGGTGATAACCCAAAACCCACTGCAGAAATTTCAAACGAACTTAAACTTGTAAATAGCAAGGACCAATTAGAACTTAGAGAAAAGAATGTCATTGTTCTGTGTGAAAAAAATTATCAATGTGACTATAGTTTGGAAATCGATCATCACAGTTCAGAAATCGATCATCACAGTTCAGAAATCAATCATCACACTTCAGAAATCAACCATCACAGTTCAGAAATCAACCTAGTTCCAGTACCAACAAATTATATCAAAGACATCTATGAGAAGACAAAATCATCTGACAAATTCGAAATTGACAAGTTTACCCAAGTTTTCTGTCAAATGCAAACAAACCAAACAGAGAAACCTAGCACAGCTGGCACAGAAATAGTTAATGAAAATAATATATCAGAACTAAAATGCTGTGAGAAGTCTCAACAAGTGTCAGAAGTATCCGACGAAAGTAAATCCTCTGTCAGTTCTTTCACTGACCCAATTCCCCAAATACAAGTTTTTTACAATCAATCAGATGCCAACATTCCAAAACTGATTTTGCAAAACCAATCAACAGGCGAATATGGCCCCCAAACTATTGTACAAGTGAAAAATTCAAAGTTGCCAGAACCGAAACCTCATCCAAAAATTGTAGTTTTTAGAGAAGTTTTAGATACAAAGCGATTACTTCAACCGTTGAAACACCTTGACATCAACTTCGTTAAAACAGATTTGGAGAAACATCAAGATATCAGCCAAAAATTTGACGACGAACTAGTCGAAAGCCACAAAAGAAAAGACGATGATAGGGAAATTCTGCTGAAATCTGTTTATGCTATAGTGTATATTTTAATGTTCACCGCGTTGAATTTAGAATACAGATGTCCATAGTATTGTAGGAAATGCAAACAATAAACTGAAAATATGAAAGTAGCCTTTTTGTTCGAAGTTAAGTCTTAAACAAACAAATTAAAATTTCTTGAAATATATCCCACAATGTCATTCAAAATCTATAAAATTACAATGAAAGCTTTGAAAGTACAAAAAATTGCAATTAAAGTCACTTGACTTCCAAAAATAAAAATTACTTTCTTTTGAATGTGAGTGAACAAAAATTCCATAAGGAGCTTATTCTCCACATATAATTTTTAAATGTGATGATGCTGAAAATTCCTGGAAAATTACATGCCAATTGCTTTATTGAGTACTATTCTCAAAATTCTCAAAGAAATTCAGAAGAAAATTATAGTTGACTTCATCAATAAAACATATGGGTTTGGGGCAACCAACAAAAAGTTCTGCAAAATATTTTAATCGAGATAATCTTAATAAAAACATCACATAGTGGCTCTCTTTGTGGATCTACAATTCAATTAAAAAACNATGAAAACTTTCAATACAAAGTCATACGATTCAAATTGTTATATAAAGCACTAGTTAGGTAGAATTTAGTCGGTATGAACAAACCTGAGGAAGCCATTGTATAGTGAAACATGTGTTGATGTTTTGTAAACTGTTCAGAGATAATCTCACAACAAAGAGTTACTTGAATACGTTATGGATTTTCATCAAATATCGACCAATTCATCCCATATAATTAAAACTGATCTAAACTGGGCTGATGGTATGAAGTTAATCCTAGTTGAGAAAAATACATAATAGTAGGCCAAAGTATAGGCCATGAGTTACATTTTCATGATTTAGTTTCCATGTTCAATATTAATATTCAGTAATACAAATATTTCTTAATGAATGGGATAAGACTAACCACTTAGACCAAGTGTTGGTCTAAGTAGTGCCAACATCAAAGCAGCAAAAATCAAAATGGATATACATGTCAATTTTCGTTGCTTGCTTCGCCTATTACTAAAATAGTTATGAAACTATCCTGTCGAATATTAAGCTCTCACTATTTACATCTTATTTTGGGTTCTTTACATATAATCATTCCACAGTAACTCAAAGCTTGAAAGCCTGGAATATGACAGTGCCGAATGGAAAGTTTTCGGAAAGTCACTTTTCTATGGCAGCTTCAAGTCACATATCTCCCAATTTTTCAAACATCAAATTTCTAGGAATTGAGGTTGTATCCCTAAAGTTGTGAATAACAATAACTGAAGCCACAAACTGACTCACAGACCGAAAACACAACTAGAAAGAAAATTCAATAGATTATATGGATTATTTTGAAAATATTTATATAGAATACTCCAGATTCAGCCCTAGTTTCAGAGTTAAATGAAAAATAAGAGCCATGAGAGTTTCACAAATAGCTGACAAAAACCAACTGATCTCAAATGTTTGATTATTGTGATTAATTGTGATTATTGTGATAATAAATAGTGTACTAGAAACAGGACATTTTCCAACCGCCTTCAAAAATAGCATTGTTACACCTGTTTTCAAGACTGGAGATAAACATACTGTAGCGAACTACAGACCGATATCCTTGATATCAAGTCTAGCTAAAGTTCTAGAAAAAGTAATAAAGGTCAGAGTCAATACATTCCTTGAAAAAAATAAATTACTCTCTAACTCTCAATTCGGATTTAGGGAACATAAATCTACTCAAGATGCGATACACTCCTTAACAAACACTATTTACAATAGCCTAGATAAAGGAGAACCAGTAATAGGTATTTTTCTAGACTTGGCGAAGGCATTCGACACCGTTGATCATTCAATACTTTTAGAAGTACTAGAAGATATGGGAATTAGAGGTACAGCACATTGTTTATTCAAAAGTTATCTAGAAAATCGAAAACAGCAAGTTAAAATTAAAAATAAATTGAGCAAAACACAAAAAATAACATGTGGTGTGCCTCAGGGAACGGTGTTGGGTCCTTTGCTATTCACTATTTATTTAAATAATCTATTTCTACTTGAAAAAGATGGCCAAATAACCAGTTTTGCCGATGATACGGTTGTANGTATTCATAATATGATTGAAGAAATCATTCTTACCTTCATGCCTTTGGATTCTTTGAGGAATGTATAAGCCATGCCTCCACCAATAATCATTTCATTAACTTTATCTAACAAATTTTCAATAAGCTGAATTTTATCGGCTACTTTTGCACCTCCTAAAATGGCCAAGAATGGTCTAAAAAAAAAAAGAGACAATTACTACACCAAGCAGTAAGATAATTTGTAAGTATCCAGTATCTATGCTTCGCATCTTTAACAATTACCCAAGTATTAACACCAATTAGTTTTCATTTTTCCATTGCAGTATTGAATTATTAAATTCTGTCAAGAATTCAGAATAAAGTATTTATAGTTTTTGAAGTAATCAAGTATTAAGTACCCAGTACTCAAAGTACTATGTTCTCAAACGGTAACAAGAACCAGACCTTTTATACACATAGAGGGTTTTTTCCAAATTAAAACTTCAATTTCCAGGCATGATTTGATGTTATATTTTATGAAAGAGTTGATATAGAATTTCCTTCTTTCTTAGAGAAACTTGATATCAACGAGTGGGGATATTATTCAGCTTCAATTTCAATATTATCACCTTATTGGCAAAATTTGAAAAAAATTAACTCTTCATTTTATGGTAAGTAATAAATTTTTAGTAATTCTGAGAAATGAAATATGTAAATCTTGTCATAAGCTTTTATAATGAATACATTGTGTAATGTAATAAATTGATGGGCTTGATTTAGTTTAAAGTTACTTTTCTTTTTTTGTAAAAATGTGTTTCATGAACACTCCCATTGATTTACATTGTGACAATATATTAATTGAAAAAATATTGGATAGGTTTTCAATTTAAAATTACCTTCTTCTTCAATATGAAAACGTAAATTTTCAAGAAGAATAACAGAGCCAGGTTTGGGGTCCTTGCAAGCTTCTTCTACTTCTGAACCTACACAGTCATTGAGGAAAATAATATCCCTAGAATAAAAACCATTGACAGGACTGTTTTTCATTCCAAATAAATACATACCTATTCAATAACTTCTGTAGTTCTCCGGCAACTGGTTTCATGGTATATTTAGGATTAGGGGTACCATCGGGGCGCCCTAAATGAGACATTAAAACTACACTTTTAGCGTTCTTCTCCAAAGCATATTTTATAGAATCCAAAGCGGCTACAATTCGCTGATTATTAGTAATAACACCATCTTTCAATGGTATATTGAAATCCACCCTGTCCAGAATCATTGGTTATTTTTTATTGTATTTCAACATTGCAAAAGATAAAATAAAAATACCTCATTAGCACCCTTTTGTTGGAAAGATCCAAAGCATCAATTGCAAGTTTATTCAAAGCCATATTAGAAAAATTTCGATTTCGAGATACAAGAAGAAATCGGCAACTGACTACCGACCTGCACAAAATTTGTTTCAAAACTGTCAAAGTCATGTGGAGGTCAAAGTAAGCTAAATCTACCGATAACGAAGTTAACTGCAAGGTATCAACCAACCAATGTCAAGTTTTGAATTTGATATTGGAAACTAACTTAAAAACGATTTGTTTGAGAATAATTTTATAACTTCTTCAAGTTTCAGTTTCTTGAACTTTTGATAAGAGGTCAGATGAAACTTTTATAGCAAATTGACATTTATTGATTTGCATTTGTTATCTTGAATGAAAGATATTGAAGTCATATGTAAGTAAGTACTAATTAAAATATTAATAACAATTTATGTATATTACAAGTTTTCTGTCTACTTCCTACACATGATAAATTTATGTGTAATTCAATCTCAATCACGTGTATCAAAAAAACTATAATGGATCAAACTAACTGAAACTAGTTTTTTTATATTTTCATTTCAAAATTGAACCCAATAGAACCAATATTCCAAAAAAAACTATATGGTTTCAAGTAACATCAAAAATACAGGTCAAGGCTAAGCTATTAATTCATAGTGGCAAAAATATAATACCTAATTCATCCATTTTTTCTTTTGGAATAAAAGTACAAAATTTGACAACTGGTTCACAATATGTACTCAACTATGTTATTCTATATATGTAATAGTTTTTCCCATGATAAAAGACATTAGGCCAAACTAAGAACAATACCCGAGAATACTCGGACAATACCTTTAAATAATATTCTTTTGATACCTACAGCAAACCATTTGGTTTATTTTGTTAGTACTGTAACCAATATAAATCAACCTTTTCAAAATAGACATTTGAGAAAATTTTCAATATTTCTTATTTTGAATGATTGACTACAAACCACAGTAAAATCCATCCAAAAATTTGGTAAATCTATTTGATAAAACTTCTTTACAGCTAAAGCTACTCAAGAAGACAAATAAAAATGGTGCAATTATATTTCTTTGGTCAGCTTCATGCACCAGTTCAAACTCGTATTATGAGCGGTTTGATCAATTATTTTCAATTGCAAATTCGTGCACGAGCTTATTATACTATACATATATCGTTACACATATTGATGTACACGAGTATAAGTTTTTGGTGGTAATATTATATAAAACAATAATTCTTTGTCTGGGATGGGTGAAGTCAAGGACATAAAATTAAATTTGAGTTTCATTTAATAGTTTCCAGCCCATTCATTCCTAAATCAGATTTTCATATCTTATATCAATTTTTCTTTCAAACCTGGGAACGTGACAGAATATAGTTTTTTCTTTGGTGTTTACAGCATCAACAACTATGGCCATAAGCCTCATGTTCTGAGTAGGCACCCCAAGCCATCTAAGAAGCATCAATTATTTCCAGTCCCATCAGATATATAACATGATAGAATATATTTCCTTGTAATCAAGGCCTTTCCCTCGACAATTGGAGAAAAAATAAATAGTAAAAAACGAATTTATTTCAGTAACACTTTATTTTACTGTTCTTTATACTTCTCTATTCATTTATAGCACAACTGAATCAGTTACAATCTGTTTAAATGACCAAGTCTATTTTGAAAAAGAAGGAAAATTAAGCAAGTTCAAATTGACATCCCATACATTTTTGCAAAGTTTTAATATTGTGCCACATCCCTCAAATACAGATATGAATTATGTATTTAAAAAAGTATTATTCAGTCCACCTATGAGCACAATGTTGGTTTGTGCAAACGTAATATAATCTCATTTCCTCTTCAGCTCTCCTAGTCTGTGCTTGAAAAAATACTGCCTCCCTGTAAATTATTTGAGTTAGTACCAGTCTAAAAAAAATATTTCAGTGCACAAGCAGCCATGAGTTCCAAACAGTTCAAAGCGATGTGCAAGACTTGATGAAACGTAGCTCACAAAATGGTTATCAAATCAGTACTCTTCATTTTTCTTTGAAAATTGATTATACACGAGTGTGTTATACATTGTTTTCTGCCATTGATGATAAATTTACCTATTCAATCATGTAAATTTTAAGTCATTCAGTTTACTTGTGGTTGACAAATGATTTTATTTACATTTTGAGAGCTGCTGAATACCAAATATTATGCATCACTTTGAAAAATTCCAAATGTGGCTGGTTTCACAGTAGTACCAAAAACATATAAAAAAAGTAACCTGTGGTTGCATTCTGGGCAGTGATGATCCTCAGTTCGTGGCAAAGTCGGATCAGAGATTACATCAGATACAATATGGGTCAATTCACTGAAAAAAAAATTCAATAAAATCTTTATTTCATAATTAAAAACTTACTTACTCAATTTCGTGCATAATTTTGTTAACATAGATACATTTGGAGTCTGCATGCTGCTGGTAATCACAATTTCGACATGCATATAGTAAGATTTTATTCTCCTTGTCCTCCTTTGGGTATAACATGTTGTTGCTAAAAATGTTATTTTTAAATCAAGTAAATAATAAGGCTATAATTTACAAAGACATTATAAAATGGGCAAAAAAGATTACCATTCTTGACAAAATCGTATTCCAACAAAACCTGGTCCTTCACTGTGTGAATCATATCCTGTAGGTTTAGACATTGTAATCTCAGCAGTAGCTTGAAATGAAAAATTTTCCCTAATCGAAGTTTTGCCACAGGTAAATTTATTATAAGAGGTGTTGGAAAAACTAAAGATGTTCGATAAAACTTAGTTATTAATATGAATTAAAAGTAACCCTACAATCGATATAAATATGAAAGGTAGCTACGTTCGTTGTTATGATCTGTCATGTATCCTATCATTCCTATCCCGTATGTGATCATTTATGAATTCTTCTTCTTCATATGGTAGCCTCGGCTACTGAGGATATTCAGCCAAGAATTCATTATTCCTTGATTTTGAGAATGTATTTCATCGTTATTCAGATGATGAATTCTAAAGTAATTTCAGGTACCTACATGACTTTCTATCACATATTACACTGTAAATTTTGAAAATGTCATGTCACCTTGCACACTTAGATTATACTCTAAATTTATGTTACTCTCAAATTTACTTCATTATGTGTAAGTAATTATTCCATTGATTACTCATAAGATTGAATAAGTTGAGAAATTAGAAATAAATTACGAATTAACATTTATGTCATATTTCAAAAATTGCGCCCGAAATATTTTCAACGTCCACTTCGACCCACCTATTCAGATGGGTCGTTTTGAGCTTGTCGTGAGCGAAAGTAATGACTCATGAGTGACGTTTTCAAGGCGACCACAACGACCGAGGTCATTATGTGGAACGGAAATAGGATTATAGGTAACAATTGTTACCTATGCTGTGATTTTGATCGTTGTGAGCGCTTAGTGGAATGCACAAAGAGTGAATCTGGACAATACAGTCCATCCCTATTTGGGAAAACTGTGAAATCCAATCTGTATTGCTAAGGAAACTAGACACTGATCACTCAGTACTTGTTTATTTACTCAATTATGTACATCAATTAGAGCTTTAGGTTGGGGTTGATAAAAATGAAAGTTATAGCAGTGAGTTATGGGTATAATAAACACTACAGAAAGGATATCATTCAATGAAAGCGGTTGAAAGCAACCCTTTGGCATGGTTATCCGAGAAACGAATTTTAACTTCATTGAGTGAGCAGCTTAAGAATATATATCATAATTTCTGTCTGAGGCCACAGTCACAATGATCGTGGTCTTCGAATTTAACTTGTGTGAAGATGTGTATTGGTTAGACAATGATTACTTCTTGCTCTTTTCAAAGTGGAGTCTAGAAGAAAATTGAAATCATGTAACCAAGGTTTTGAGNTAAAGTATCCAAACTGGTGATGTAGCAAAGAAAATTAAAGGAGGTGTTGTCCGAATGGAAGGATATGTGTTAGCGGTAGTTTTTTGTTTTAATTTCATACACAACTAATCAATTGCCAATAATATGTAGGAACTCATGTTTATATGTAATGCTTTTTTGGAAAAAAACAATAAACAAGGCTTTTTTGAATATAATTGATAACAGTATTGTATTGCTGAAATTAATTAACAGGTTCGTTCATATCAATAAAAATTTGATTAAACACATTCATTTTTTGGAATGTTATGAGCATTTCTCAAGTGTGTTTTAACATAAGACTTGTCTGCAAAGCATTTTGTACATTCAGGACACTTGAATGGTCTTTCACCATCATGAGATCTAATATGTTTCTGCAATTTGTTATTAGCAGTATAAGTCTTTGAACAAAGTGGACATACAAACTTTTTGGTTGCAACAGGAACTTTCATATTACCGATACCATGTGCTTTAGCTAAATGCAGATTAAGTGACTTCCGATACTTATAAGCCTGGGTGCAGAGGCTGCACTTGAAGGAAATTATATTAGAATGGGTCTGGATATGACTCTTCAATACTGACTTACTGATGCATTTTCTCTCACATAAATGGCATGAGAAATTTTTCTCTCCCGTATGTGTTTTGATGTGGCTATCAAGATTAATTTTCAACGGGAACTTTCTGTTACAAGAGTTGCAGGTATATTTCCATTGGGCACGGTCTATGTGAACACATATGTTGTGTTTGTGCAGATCAGAAGAAGTATTGAAGGCTTTTGGACACTTTTCACACCTATAAGCTCTTTTATTCACATGAATTTTCTCGTGATGATAAAGATCGCTGGTTGTTATGAACCCTTTTCCACAAAATGAACATATATGAGGACGATCACCTGAATGATATCTGAAAAAAAATTGTTTAAAATTTCATTCCTATCCAAATTCAAGAAATTAATGATATTTTTTTAAAACTTGTGATACCTCTTGTGTGCATTGAGATATACAGCAGATGTAAATGTTCTCTCACAAAGTTCACATTTGAAATTTTTTTCAGTGGCATGAACATTTTTCATGTGTCGCCTCATAAGATATTTATTTGAGAAAATTGTTCCACAAAGGGTGCAAGTTGATTCCAGTTGGCGAGTGATTATTTTCTCATACTTATTTATTCCATTATTTCCTGAAAGTTTTGACTTTTTCATTTCAATATCTACTCACCACCACATGAATCTCTTACCAGTTCTCTTAATACAATTTTTGAAATGGCGTTTTATATTTTTCGTACTATAAAGATTTCCACAGTTCTCACATGGTTTTTGCATATTTGACATATCTTTTCTCTCATGTTTACTCTTTGCATGTTTCTCCAAGAGTGATTTTGTTTCGAAAACCTTTTTGCAATCTAAACATTCCAAACAATAATCGGCTTCTTCTTCAGATGACTCCCCATTTCCTTGTATCACTTCATTTTCAACATCTGAACTAGTTTCTTTGTCGCATAATAACGGTATGGTTATTTTAGAAGTATATGAAGTTATGCACAATATTTTGAAATTATAAGCTCTCTCCAAATCATCTTTACAGACTGAACATATTCTTATATTTGAATTCCACTCCTGAAAATGTATGGGTCATTATCAAATTATCTAAAATTATTTTCTGTTACCACTTCCGGGACGCATTTGTTTAACTTGTTTAATATATCTCCATTACTGGATCCATCAAATACAATATTGTCGCTCCTCAGACAAATTGTACAAACATTTGTCATGTTTTGTTTATAAACAAATCAACAAACTATCGACAGTTGACAGGCCATTGGTAGCAAAAAAAGGATTTTTTCATTGAACTGTCACTGAAGCATATAGAGTTACCTATAAGGGCTAGTTCATGTTGGAACGAATATCGCACAAAATGTGCGATTTAAAATGGCGTCGTGTTTATCGTAAACAAGTTGAAAAAATACAATGAGGTTATATTGCTATTTTATTTGACTGTCGTTTTTAGGCCCATACATCAAAATTGAATTTGAAATGGACGGATGTGTTAGGTTGCAGTCACATTAGTTTCAAATACAAGTGGTAAAAAAACTTTGGAAGTTTTATTTTTCATAATATTTTCGTTAACATAATGATACCTTCTTCAACATTATTTATTCTTGAATAGTTGCAACAAAATTATTGCATTTTGAAAAGAAAATTATACATTGCAGTGCTGTTGTAGAAAAAAACTATATTTATCATATATCAGAGGTTTTGTGATAACAAATAATACCTCAAATGCCGACTTTCATTCAGGTGAAATCCAGCGTTCGTTAAATATATTTGGCTGCTTTGACTCTATGATCACGTGGTATTAAATTTGTATCTGCTCACTCGGCTCCAGATTTTCAAAACTGAACATACCTATACTGAAACTGAAGGATTTGACAAAAAGTAAGTGGAAAAAATTCTCATTTCACATCTGACAAAAGGTGTGTTTTTTCACCGATATTAATGAGAAATGTTTGCCAATATAGTTATTCGCTCTCTCTGCTTGAAATATTTTGACCAAGCAGAGAGAGCGAATATCTTTAAGCAAAAATGATAGATCTGGAATAGATAACATTAGTGTGAACAAAACACACTTATAGATCTCTAAAGCCAGGGGAGTAATTCTCTAACTTATGCGGGAGTCTGTCGTAGATACCAACGTCCGCGTTTACATCGATTCGGCTTTGCCAACTGGACTTGCCAATTGGCAAACAGCGGCATAATGTGGACGCGCCTTTAAACCCACTAAAAAAAAAACAACCACAAATTTTAATTTTGACTTAAACTACTTACTTTCTAGTTCGAGCGATAAGTGGTTTACCGAAATGATAGAATTGTTTAATACTGGAAGTTAATAGAATGTTTTTGTAATGATTTTTTTTGGTGTGATTTTGTTTTGTTCGTTACTGAATAGTGACTCTGCATATCAACCAGAGCCAAAAATTAAAGTACTGAGTTATGATACAAATTACACATTCACAATAAATAAAACAATAGAGTATATTTTGGAATTCACAGATGATAAAGTAAGTGTAATAAATGTGTTTGAAAAAATTGTATTGAAGACAAAGATTTTCATTAGGTTTTTGGATATTCAGATGCTCCACCAAGAATATGGATTCAAAGTGGGGCTTCCGCAGCAGCCCCCTTAATGATTGTTGCTCGCCAAACAAAAGAGATGTTGTCATGGCAGTTACCTTTGGAAGTAGAGAGTGAATCTGGTGAAACATTATTCAACTATACTTCGAGAACATTATGCCATGATATTATTCATCATTACAAAGTTTTCGGTAACTATTCTCGTATAAAATTCAACTAATAGTTTTATAACCATCTCCACAAATCAAAACTAGTTTTATCTCTTTGGGTAAAGTTTACTATGGGTGAAACACTCCCAATGACACAGGTTTAATAAACAATAACTCTTAACAGATGAATTATATAAAGCCACACTGTCAAACCGTTCATTATTTGGGAACTCATTTTTTTTCGCTGTTTTGATGAGGATTTTATCTGAAGTATTCTCATAAGGATTATTATATAAAGCCACACTGTCAAACCATTCATTATTTGAGAACTCATTTTTTTTCGCTGTTTTGATGAGGATTTTATCTGAAGTATTCTCATAAGGATTTGATTCACATATTTCATACTTCTATCTAGAGTTTCTCATATGCATGCATAAAATTTTTGCATCTGCGCTTTTAACGTCTCTACTAAAATTCCTCTAAATTACATTTTATTATTGATGAAGAATCTCAAAATGCCTTCCTAATCAGTAAAATCAGTGACCTTGAAATAATGTGTATAGACCATACTTCCGAGTACCTTAGTTCTCTGGAGTAAGTTCTATATGACAAACCCTCACTCCAATAATGAAACTGTCACAGACTGTCACAAATAACTTATTCGTCTAGTGGCTTGTGAATTGTTATTAACACTATGTAGCAGTTTGGATGAATATAAATAGTGAAACCAACTAGAAAATACACTAACCTAAAATATGGAATCTCTTCTGCAAATCCAACTGGCAAAGCGAAAGCGTTAAGTGCTTGTAGACTGTATGATGTAAGCGGTGAGCACTAGCGATTAGCTATAGTGGTAGCGAAAATTTAGTAAAAGCACATGAACAGGCAAACTTGAAAATCGTATATTTTAAAAATGTGTCCTAAGTGGTAGCGTGCTACTTTTGCACTTGGGATTCATTGGATGTGCATGCACTTGGTCCAATAGTATGCGAAATTCAACTAAAATATGAGTGGGCAAAAACTGAACATTTTTTCCCACTAAATTATGAAACGATTTTAATGTCACTGGCAATCAGTAAAGTATACAATTTCACTTTTTTAACAACCTTTTTTTTGTACGAACGTCGGCAACCCTTGGAAAACCATCTTTTCCATAATACCATTTTTCTATATGAGCAAGACTCCATTTTACAGTAAGGGTTTGTTAATTTTTAATCAATACCATAGTTCCCAAATAAACGGGATTAGAAACCTTCAACTAATTACTTCTTTGCTGAAGAGTGTGAAGGTATTCATCACGCCACCTTTTCCAGAAATGGAGAAGTGAAACATCATATCTGGGCAGGTCCAAAGTTTTGAAACATTTTTAGGAAATATAACTTGACTGTGAACTCAAAGTAGAATTCAAACTTCTTTATACAAACTACGCGTATCTCGAATTTCATTACAGCAGTTGAAAGCAAAACGTTGCTTATAAAACCGGCCATACTAAGAAAAGTAGAAGCTTCTAGTGACTTGCTGGGTTTGGATCCTTGAAAATCAGTTTGTGGAATCAAAGAAGTTAAATTCTGAGGAACTATTTCATTTTTATTTATATGGAGACTCAAGTGATGTTTTGATTCCATAATTCAAACAAATTGAAATTGATTCACACTTATTTAGATGAAAGGTCAATGGCCTGAAGAGCGGTACATCATTTTGGTATGAAGTTTTTTAAATATTCGAAAGAAGGCAGCTTATCCGCAACTAAAAAAATTTTCAAGTTCACAACTTGTGATAGTATCTTGGTCGAGATGTTTAGCGTACATATAAGTTCTTCTCGATATTGATCAACTCGTGGATATGAAATTTTGAATTGAAGTCTTATGTTTTCATCGGTTTCTTCCTCATTGACATTATCTAAAATTTCTGACATTTGGTTAATATTAACCATTCGAAGAACTCTATATTGTTTTATTTTATTGACGCTAGAGGCAGACATCAATAATCTTTGTGAAAACAAAAATAACTCTTAGTTCAATAACCTCTGATTAGCTGCTGAATGTAAAAAGTTATTATTGTTCGTGAAGGGCTAAATATCTACAACAAATGATTTCTACGATTTTATGTAGAAACTGAAACTTTCCAAATCGTGAAGGTAAATGATCCAGTTATTAATTCAATAATTATGATATTAAAGGAAAATATATGCAATGAGAGGAAAGCGAATCTGGCTCGAAGGACCAAACACGTATCAGTGTACATAAATATAAATAGCGAAACCAAGTTGAAAATGCACTAATCTGAATTATGGAATCCCTGCAATTCCAACTTTTGTTCAACTTGTCACTTGCATTTTTTATATATTTCGTTGTTTTTGTCATTCAGAACAACTTTTGTATGTTGTAAACGATTTTAATTATTTTCCAATGTTCAATGCAGTTATTTCTTTTCATCAAATTGTGTTATTTCTCCAATGGTCAACGAATTCCTTGTAACAAATTTGACAATAAAAATGGGACAGAATCATCATCTCACAAAGGTTTCAGTAAAATTACATTCATAATACTGTCCACTTAATGAAGGGAACTTATTTACCAGTTTCCTTTTTTTTTTAGGATATATTGGCTGATGATAGTAATTTTTTCAGGGCAATCAAAAATCAATCACGAAAATCCCATTGTTTCTGTGGCAACAGCTTCAGATGAGACTGTCGAGTTCATAATAAATGTACACTATCAGGAAAAATTTTATATTGATCATTCAGAGGAATATAACTTTACAGTTTCACCTAGTGAACCCAAGTAAGTCTTAGTTTTGATTTTTTATCTACAGAGTACCAAAACATTCAACTTGAAAAGTTTTAAAGCCGGTATTCATTCCTATATTCATTCATAATCTGGATTATATTCATCCTTATTTTACAAATTGAAAAAATTTACTGAAGGATCGGTAAAAACAAATATTGTTTCATTTTGTTCATGTTTGACATTGTCATTCAATAGAAAGCATTCTAAAGCTAACTCCCTCACAACACAATTTATTTTAATATATAAAACTTTATGACATATCACATACGGTAAATAAGGGACAAAAATTAAACCTGTTACAATCTCACACACCAATTGTAAACTTTGGAAATAATTTTTAACACACAAAATATGTCTTTTTTTACGGCGATAAAATTTCCCCCATACGAAGACGCCATCTGTGGAATAGATAGAAGACTCAATCCTCAAACATCATAGATAACAAGGCAAGGTCCAGTTGAGACTCGATGCCGTGCAGTGAAAGACAGTGGTTGAAACTCATTCGGTGGTCAATATCGAAGCTAGGCTTCGCAACTGACCGCCTTGGAGATCCTTGTTTATTTTTGAGACTCGAGGATTGAATCTTCTGTCAGTCGGGTAGATGCAGTCTTTGTTAGAGTAGATGTCGTCGCCTCTACTCCCATATTGTATTCTTGTTTATCCACATAGGTGTAAATCTTGTGACAAGCTTTCATATTGTATGAACTGTGCAATATAATGAATTGATGGCTTTGATGCAATCTCAAGTTAATTTTTTTCTTTTTGGAGCATGTAAATAAAAGCATGTTTTTGAAAATGCTTCTTTACTATTAATTTATTTTTTAGTATCGCTGTAAGTTCCTTAGTTTTTTAATTTTATGTGTCATTCTTGTGTGGTCGATTCCTACAACATTCGTTCGAGCACCACCAAACTATTCCTAACCTTTGCCGAGTTAACTAACTAAAATTGGTATGGCGGCTATCTTGATTTTCGCTATTTCGATTTTTTTCTGAATCTCATTGAATATTCATATCAAGGGGGTACAAAAAAACATAATCCACCATCAATGGAAGTCCGCCTTATTGGATTTAGAGTGTCATCGTTTTACTTTTTGCATTATTTTTAGCAGACACCTTTTTTCATTTGATTCCCATATCACGGGAGTGCATAAGAAATAAATAATCCATCATCTTGGGCTGTCCACTGTATTGGATGTAACCATGCATTGTCATCCATGCTAAATGTGTTTGCAAAATTGACCAAAACCAAGTAATCTCTGAACTTTCCTCAGGATGTGTTCCTCCTTATGTATGATGTCAGCTTCAGATCACCTAATTTTATGTTATTGGTTCCAGACAAGCTATGGCGACTATATTGGTGGTCTTTTATGAAGTTGGAAACAGCAATTTCTGACACAGCATTCTAACATTCTATGATTCGCATGGCTTTGCCCAGTTGATTTGAAACTAATTAGTTGATCTTCTTGTGTAACTTACATTTTCTCCAGCAAATTGACAATAATTCCTTACAGAAGGTGAATAACTAGAAGTAAATGTCTTTACAAGTTGTGAATAGTAGAATTAGTGGAACATAAGTAGTGAGGCTTGCTATTATGTGGAGAAAATAATCATGTATCCTTATCTGAACAAAAAAACCAATAATGCAGAAGCATTAGCTGTACCTTGAAGAATCAAGATATTGAGTTGTGATGTTTGTATGTTAGTTCGTGACAAATCTTGCCACTGAATTTTGAAGCACATTTCCTCAACCGATTGAGCTCAAATTTTTCATTCATGATTAGTTTGGATGACAGTAAATGATTAGCTAAGTGACGCTATTCTACATCCAATATGGTGGACCGATCAAGACAGCGGCTTGTTTTTATGACCTTCTATTGATATATGTATCTAATAAAAGAGTTTTGCTGAAAATAATATGAAAAATAAAACGTCATTCTGAATTCAGTATTGCGGACTCCCTTTTTATATAAAGGTGGAAAAGTGCATAGCCAAAAAGCTGTTTTTTCCCAAGGTTTTTTTTTATATGCTCTAAAAATAAACTTGAAACATGCAACTTTGATACATTAAATGAAAAGACTAAGGAACGATAATATAAATAAATCAATAGTGAGAAAACATTTTCAAGAACAAACTCTAAAAAAGAAGAAAATAAACTTCAAATTGAATTAAACCTATCAATTTATTACATTACACAATTTATATGATAAGCTTGTCGAGAAATTTACCTGTGCAGATAATTAAGATTACAATTACAACATTTTTTTTTATATAAAAGCTTGTGTTTCATTTTTTTAGTATCAATTTATTACCTTTCATTTTCTTGTATATTATTTTGACTTTTGTTTAACTCATTCCTATATTTCTCACTTTATTCATTTATCTTTTCTTTTATTTAAAATATGTTAACATTTTTTTTAGGTAATGGGTGTTTTCACAATTCTCATAATTTAGCCTCAGTTCTTCGTATTTGACATCTCATAATTATAAATTCCTTTTAGTTAATGATTGCTAATTTTTATTTCTTTTATGCTTTTTTGTTTATGTGTACAAATGCATTAAATCACATTAAATAGTTTGATTTTAATCATGTTTTTTATATAATCTTTATCAACTGTGAAAAATTACAATGACATTCAGAAAGAATGGACAGCAGATTATATAAATATAGTTTTTGATATATTCAAATACTTGAAATAAAGTAAATTCAGCTGATACGAATCATTCCATTGTTCTAGATATTTCTTTTATAATTTTTCGACAAATATCTCCCAGTTGATGATTGCTGAATCTAATTACGAAACAGTAATTTTAGAAGTATCTTCAGATGATGACATATGTATGACTGTCAGTATTCAAAATATAAGTGTAAGTACCTTAGCTTTGTAGAAAATAATCTTCATTAGTGCCTAGTATAACAAATGACTAGTTAAAAGTACTTCATTACAGTGCCCTGTTTTTGATACAAATCAAGATGTAACCTTCCGTGGATTTTATGAAACAGTTAATAAAAAGGGAGGCATAACAATACCAGTAAGTTTGATTTATTATTGAAAATATATGTATGTGTTGTTTGCATTTTCAAAGAATGAAGATGTTTTAGCCATATGGATTTAATAAAAGAAACTTCATATTCTACATTTTCTACATTAACACTAAATATATTGACAACTATACATACTTACACAAGTATAGAAAAAGTTAAAAAATAATATAGTACATGTAACTGTTACTAAGAGTGAAAAAGTTTTTAAAAAAACCTTGTAAAAAGCTATGTGCAGAGATGAGTTTGATAAATGAACTTGTTTTTGTTGCGAGGATCAATTTAATGTAAGTATATCATATTTATTTCAGGGTGGACAACAATTTGTTACCAAAACATACAAATACACCCAAATATATTGCTTCACTTTTATTACTCATCGCTGCAAATAATTTGAATTTAAATAATTATTGGACTTCATAAACTCTTTCAATCATTAAACTTGAAATATTTCATAACCATTAATAAGTCCACCTGTGGTACATTATTTGTGTCTGCCTTGAAAAAACTCTCATGGGCGGAACATATCTTCATTCATAAAAGATTTAATTATTTGCTCTATAACAGTTCAGACGTGTTTCAGACGCTGTACCCACAATCGCACATATCTCATGATGCCACATTTAGCTTTCAACACACGTGAAGTTTCAAAGTAGCTTATCTTGATAACGGTACCATATTCTGGATGGCAAGCACTATCAAAATGACGACCCTATTGTCCTCATATTCCTGTCCAGTTTTTACGTTTTCGCGGAATCACTTCAGTTCAAACTGAAATAATCTGAAGTTTCTTTTTATATTCTTGTATTTAACTTTGATGTCTTATGCTAATTCAACCTGCTTGACACGAGGTGTGTTCAGAAAACAACGAGAATTTTTGTTTTTTGAAAAAATATTTATTCATCTACATTAATGTTGTCGCCTTCAAAATAGTCCCTATTGAATATTATGCACTTGTGCCACCGCTTCTTCCAATTCTCGAAACACTTCTCGATTGGAGTAGCCTTTATCTCTTCTATTTTTGAGAATTGAAAAAAATCACACGGAGCCGTGTCTGGCAAAAATGGAGGCTGGGACATCGTTTCAGGATTGTTTTTAGCCAAAAATTTACAAACAAACAATGAAGTATGAGCAGGAGCATTATCTTGTTGCAGAAGCCATGCATTGTTTTTCCACAAATCCGATCGTTTTTTTCGGATTGCTTCTGGCAAATCATCAGCGATCTCTCTGATTGTGATTCGGCGATCGTTCATAACCGTTTCTTTTCCTTTTTCCACGTTTCCATCGGTTGTTGATGTGCTGCGGCAATGGTCATCCTGGAAAGTCATACCACTCGTAAACTCTTGTTTTACTCATACCAGGTTTTACTCATAGCAGGCTCACCTCAGGCTTTTGTTGAAATTTCGAACAGATGTTGAATATAGGAGAAAACTCATGAAATTATCTTGTGAATTCAACGAATAATTTCCTTGAAAATGTCATCTTGTGAATAAAGTAAATTGAAAACTGGTGATATTTTATCAAAAACCAGTAATTCTGTTCACAACCCTTCTACTTCCAGACACGTCATGAGAAAAGAAGAGAAAGAAGAGAATGTTCCAGAAAAATCAAGGTCAGGATGAACCTAGAGAAGTTCAATATGTGAGTTGAGATTACGTTAGGACTCTGTATTTCACGTTAATAATAATAAATTTTTCGAGTTTTCTCCCATAATCAACATTTGGCACAAACCAATTGAATTGAAAATTGAAAAATCCTCGTTTGCTTCAACTGACGAGCAACTGAAAGATTATGTTCTAACATTTCTAATACATATAACATATCGTACATTGCATTGCTCAATATTGAAAGTGTGTTTATGACAATAAAAAATATTGTTACATTTCCAAATAAAAGACAGCCTCAACGAATTTTTAGTTTGTTTGACACTTTTTCTTTTTAAGAAATACAAGTTTCCTTATGGATTTTACGTAGTGTTTGTGGTGAAACCAGATGATTACCAATGTACAAGAACCATTGGTCTTTTAGATATGAATTCAACAAGGAAAAAACACATTTCTTTTATAATCAAGCCAAGTATTACTTATGGAGATTATCTGAAAGCTGTGATTATTACGTTGTCTTGCATAGGTAATTTTTTCTTCATTATATATACATTACAAGATCAAAGTTGTGGTTCGATATGGAACTGTTAATATTTCCTACAAATGTTTCAGGGGCTTTTTATGTAATTTTTGGACTATCATACTTTTTGTGTTCTGTCAGAGGAAATCTTCCTAGACAGATGTCTTATGTTCCTAATAATTTACCCGAGACTCCAAGGGCAAGTAAGTTCTTTCATGTAACATTTTTTAATTTCCTCTAAATGTTTTGATGTAAATGCATTTGTATTTGGACTGCATGACTAAGATTTCAAATTATGGAAGAAATGATAAGTGTGCTTTTGACATATCTGAAATCATCTTTTATTTTAATTAGGGGTTGTTAGAATGAAGAGCACCAATAGAGGCAATACTGGCACAGGTACATTCAAAAACATATTGTATGCTTAAAGTAGAAATATTGATTGAAAAAATAATCATAGAATTAATTAATTTCATCCTATGATATACTTTAATCTCTTAAATTTTTTTTAATGGTATGGAGGAAGATTCTTCTTACGAACAAACTTTGGAAAATTCTTCGAAGTCCTTTGATTTTCATCCTACAATTTTTAACATGTTTTGGATTTATGTAATATGTTTTCATATACTAAACATTAGTTCGTGCCAAAGTTTGATTTTTACTGAAACTATTCCTGCAGCATTTTTCCAACTTAAAATCGATTGTCTGAACATTTTAATAGTTTTCAATACCTTATAACTAAAACTACACCTGTTAAAGGAATGATCCTGCTGTGAGAAATGATTACAGTGAACTGATATGTGATATAATATATTATAAAAATGTTCGTTCTGCTGATAATATTCTCCGTCACATTTTTTTCACTTATTACAAAACAGCATGCGATTTTGCATTTTTTTTATCGAAAACAAATTTCAATGTGACCTTTTTTGTGTGAATAGTTTCATATTTTTTTAAAAAATTTGTGATAATGTAATTCAAAAATATTCCTTATTGAGCTGGAGATTCCGGATTTAAGATCAGAAAAATAATTTTATTCATTTCTTTCAAATTTTCTTCAGTTTCATCATATGCATCTCAACGGAAATCAACCTCTATAACTTTATAAATATATTAACAAATGTAACATTTTCAGTTCTATTCATGAAACGCATATTATCATAATTGATAGAAGATGTAGGTGAGAACTGCTCATTTAATAAAAATATTTAAAATTTTGTAATGCATGAGTAATTCTGTGAATGAGCTTGCGTTGTTACAAAACCCTTTGCTTGAACGTCTTCAGAATGGAGATTCATTGATATCTTTATATTCAGAACTGACCACTGTAGGTACCAACGACATATTGGACAACACTTCCATTGATGTATCGGACTATGACACATTGGAAGAAATTGACTCAGATGCAGATATGAGGCTGGGTCGGGGACACCCATGTCTTCTAGATTTGGCTAGAAAACACCCAAGAGTTCTAAAAAAGAAATCATATCTTTATTTGTATAATGTTATGACAGTAGCACTTTTTTACGCTCTTCCTGTGGTGCAACTTGTGATCACTTATCAAAGGGTGAGTTTTATTCATAAAATATTATGCTCATACAATTCATTTTCAACAATAATACTTTTTAGGTATTGAATGAAACTGGCCAACAAGACTTGTGCTATTATAACTTCCTATGTGCTCATCCACTTGGCCTGATCAGTGACTTCAATCATTTGTTTTCCAATATCGGGTATATCTTGTTGGGAATCTTGTTCTTGGTTATAACTTATATAAAAGAGCTGACACACAACGATGAAGATTTCGATAGGGTAGGTTCGAAATGAAAATTTTCTAATAATTTTTATTTTGAAATCAGTTTGCTTCGGCTATAAACAAAAAATAAAATTTTACCGCACATACAATAATTATTCCCTTTGTTAGATTAATGACCTAAGGCTACTGATACCAATCCCCACTCCAGACAAAAACATCATAACTCATTAATACAGTTTATTGTATGAGTTTTACTTTAAAAACCGCGACACGTGTTTCACTATACAATAGCTTTCTCAAGCGTTAATAACGCTTGAGAAACACGTGTCACAGTTTTTGTAAAACTCTTTACAGTGAAAATCGTACAATAAACTGTATTGATGAGATTTAAAGTGGATTTTTTTTATCAAGTATCGGCCAGTTCTATTCAATTAAGAACTGAAATTATCATTTTCTGTGGATACAGGGTACAACGCAATGACCATTGGTTAGCTGTATTTTGGAAAATAATAGGACTCATATCCTGAAAATTGACAAATTTAGGCTTTTCAATATGCTTTATCGAATGAAAATAATGGCGTATTTCAAAAACTTCGGATTATATCGAAAGTTGGTAAAAACTTACAATTATATCGGTAGTTGGTACCAACTCCCTTAAATCATATGTATATTTTCACGTTTATGAAGACCTGGCATTATTCTATTGTGAGTTTGTATAATACAGCCTATACCAAAAATGAACCGTTCTGCTCTTGAGTGATTCTCCCATAAAATTCAAAAGTTTGATAGAATATATAAAAAAAGCTTATTATTGATTCATCAAAATACTTTTTTTCATCGTCTTGTACGACTAACATTTCCAAAATGTTATACAAGGTGTTCGGAATCGATAACAAAACTCAGTTTTTCAAAATGTAAGACTGTGTATTTTAGGATAGGTGATTTTGAATCATTTTCATGAAACATTCCGTATATCTAAAATCAACCGTTCACAGGATATTTCAGTTTTTATTGAAAAAATAAAATATGCCCAGGTCCACCAAAAAACTACAGGCTAAAAAGCTACAGACAGCTGATGCTGGGTAGTTGGGAGAGATGAATGTTTCAAAGTATTTATTTTCTTATACGAGTATGCAAGAGTTTTACGAAGACATACTTTGACTTTCATTTCATTTACCCAAAACCTAAATATATTTTTGAACGTAAAATTGCCAATTCCGTAGGTTCAGGTATTGAAAATAAGGATTCCCATTTAATAAACCAAAGTTGACCATGTAATGTCAAATCCATTTGGACCAATAGATTCCTCGTTGATAGATACCTAGGGTTGATCTTATTCTCAGGGGTTTCCATTTTTTTTTCCTGTGTATCACACCCCGGTTTTTTTTTTCATTTCTACAAATTGAAGTCCATGTTTCAAGTATTGAAAATGTGTGTAGTAAAAAAATTGCTTGTCACTTTTTTTATGTATTTTTCCAGCAATTTGGAATACCTCAACACTATGGTTTGTTTTATGCAATGGGTGTGGCCTTAGTTATGGAGGGAATATTGAGTGGAAGTTATCATGTTTGTCCCAGCCAGCTGAACTTTCAATTTGGTAATGTTATATAGTCACTGTTTATGTGTCTCAAATAAACAGGTATTTGCAACTATCAGATGAGAGTAATAATGATCAATGTTACTAAGATACAGCCTACATTTATTAAGTGATCGGTATAATGTAATTGAAAATAACACAGTAACAAACCGTTTTATCGAATATTTACAGCCGGTCTACTCATCATTCACTTCATTGGATTCGAATATATAGCATACTCAAAGTACAGTATCTACAACGTTTTCCACCTTTTTCTTGCTTTCTTTCACCTTGACTAAAGAATGATCAATAAATCATTTTAATAATTACCAGCGCACATAGAACTTTGGTCGAAAGGTAACAAAATGTAATTCAAAATAAGTCTGAAGACTGTATCAAGGAGAGAATATATGTATGAGAAAATAAATGTTTCGAAATTAATTATCGAAAGATTCATCTTTCCCAACACACCAGGTTCTGATAAATGCCTGTGTGAAACAACAGCTCGGATATAATTCAATGTCCTTTGTAGTATTAGCTGAGAAAGTAGTCGTTTTCCGACAGGCATCTACCAGAACCTACTGTGTAGGTACGTTGGGAAATATAACTGTTTTGGGATTCCATTTCAAAATATTTATTTTCTTGAAATTTCAGTTATTTTTTTATGTCAAATCAAATTTACTTTTTCAAAGTTGGGAACTTGAATGTAGTTACAATGCTAGATTCATATATACAAAAATGGCAACATGTTTGAGGTATATTATCAAAATGAAATACTAATTTTGCTCAATACTGGTTAACGACATTCATTGTTACTTACCAACACTTTGATAATATTCACATATTAAAATCAAAATGGTGAAACCTTTCTGATAGTGAATGGCAATCAACCAGAGTTGAAAGTTCTAGGAAGTAGATTCTAGAAATGAATCAGATCACTTTGCTTTACTTAGGGCAACATTAACAATGCACTACTTGTTATTGGATTTCAATCTGTTATAAAATCTTTGATTTGCAATTTACAAAATTAAGATGAAAACAAATGTTTATATTTTCAGATACAAGTTTTATGTATGTGATGGCTGTGTTGTGCATGGTAAAATTATACCAAAATAGACATCCTGATATAAATGCCAATGCTTATGCAACATTTGGAGTGCTGGCCATAGCAGTATTACTAGGTAATATGTTATTTCATAAAATCTCATTTGAAACATTTTTTTTTTATATTGCTAATTGACTTCCTGTATTTCTTAATATGAATTCTATGGATTATGTAACTGATGATGTTTTTAAGAATTTAAGTGAAAAAACACTTCTACAAATGAGAAAAATATTTTTGGCATTTTACTTCCCCATTACTATAAAAAAATGTAGAAACCTTTCCACATATTTTGTGTAATGAGAGAAGTAGAAAGTTAAAATGCTTTTTCCAACAAACTATTTTGAAAAAAATTCTAGAAATGACTGTAGAATTAATGACAAATCTAAACCGATCTTAACGGAGATTGACAAAAAATTGAGCGAAAAAGCACAAGAGTCATGGCTGAGGTATTTGACGTATTCAAAAAACACTTTATTGTGAAAATTTCACAAAACAATTTTACCTAAACGCAACACGTTTTGCCATACTTCACAATAAAGTGTTTTTTGAATACGTTAGTTATGGATATTCATCAAGTATCGGCCGATTCCATCATATATCTTGAGATATTTGAGTATGAATCACTCTATGATTGTAGATGACTTTGTTGGTAAATTAAAATCCAGTGGACACCTATCAGTAAACCTTTCTTTTCTGGAATTTTGTCACTCCCCATACCAGAAATAACTCGCCAATTGGGTGTGTCACATTACTTGGATTTTTTCACAAGAGAGAAAACTTTGGATGGACATGAAAAACCGACGTGTTCGAGTTGCAAGGAAAGAAGAAAATGCACAAAGTCTCTATCGATCCATAAGTTTCCCCGTATTTTAGTAATTAGTAATTCATTTTGAAAAATTCCCTCCAATGGAAAGATTTAGAGGCAAATTGAATGTTGCCATCGAATTTCCTCTAAATGGATTAAATATGTTTTTTTCGTTAACCTGCTATCGAACCCCTACGAACGACAACCCTCAGCCCGGGGCTTGAATCATCGACTCACACATCGGCCTATTGACTGAGTGAACAACGTACCCACGTCAAACCACCCGGCTACCGGCCGACCAGATATGAGCAATTATGCAGTAGACAATGTGGCTCCTTGTCGTTATAATCTAGATGCACTTTCGAATCACAGTGGGACTACTTACAGCGAGCATTACACAGCATACTGCAGACAGTCCTATACTGGTACGTGGCATATTTTTAAAAGTTAATTATGAGTGATTTAAGTGAAATGTAAATAGATAGGTCAATCTGTAGTTGGTAATTGAGCGGAAATTTAGAGAAACTGATTATCATGATATGTAGGCTTTAACGACTGCTGTATAACAAATTATTTGATATTTCCTGGTTTATTAGCTGTGGTCTGCAGGTTTTTATACCTGCAGTTATGAAAACCTGCAGACCACGGCTAATAAACCCGGAAACTAATTATATCAACATTTACAAATTTAGGAAGTTCTAAACTAAAAGATAATAATGAACATAGGTTGAGTTTATTAATGATTTAAGACAAACTGCACTAGTCAGTCACATCTCAACTAATGCTATTACTCATTATAAAAGTGAAATATTACAGTCTATGCATTTTTTCATAAAAAAAATAATTTCCATGATTCAGTAAATCATCAAAATTGCAAATACTACAATAATTATTGAAGATAGGTTTAAAAAATCTGTTTGTTTAAATCTGTTTTTTTCCGTTAACCAGCTGTCGCACCCCTACGAACGACAACCCTCAGAAGTCGAAACTTGTGCGGGTATTACCTTTTAAGGTATTACCTTTTAACGTGTGATTCCTAACACGGGTTGGACGGTAGCAAGTGAAGATCGATCGTTCAGACTAGGGCTTAAACCACCGACCAACACGGCAGTCAATTCGAGTGAGTGAACAAAGCACCCACGCCGAACCGCTTGGCTACCGACTGACCGTACTTTCTAAATGAAATTGTGATCAATTTTTAAAGAACAGAAAATTTGAAAAAAATTAAAAACAGAATTTCTGGAAACCGTAAACAGTACTGCAAATGAAAGACCAAAAATTGTGCTTTTTAATTTAATAGAACTGGGCGATACTTGATAAAAATCCATATTAAAAAACTAATCAATACAGTTTATTGTATGATTTTCACTATAACTAATCAATACAGTTTATTGTATGATTTTCACTATAGTGAAAATTAGTTTTTCAATTGTGCTTTTTCTTACAAACCATTGAAAATATCGTTGGGTTTCTTTTTTTTTACAATCATGACCTCCTCTGTCAGCTCCTTCACTTTGGATCATGACTTGTGAGACATGCTGTAAAAAGAAAACTTCTCCAATGAAACTTTTGGTATTTTCGTTCTTCATCTTTTTTTTTATATTTTCAGGTATGATCGGTATTTTGGAAGCCACAACAGTTTTCTGGGCCTTCTTCGTTATTCTATATCTTGTAATGTGTGTTTATTTAAGTATAAAAATTTATTACATGGGTTGTTGGAAATTTAGTAAGTATCAACTTGTGATGCACTGTTTGAAACCTTTGGTGTAGTAATGTAATCATTAAAATTATAATAATAATTTTTGTAGGGGATATTTCTTTACAAAGATTGAAGCAAGTATGGATCCATGATTTTTGGTCTGGACCACTGAATGTTCTTAAGCCCTGTCACAAAGGTTTGTTGACTGAACTACTTGACTGAGTAATAAACTAACTCAAAATCCATTTTCAGCTCGTTTTGTACTTCTTCTCTTGGGAAATATTTGCAATTGGGCACTTGCAGTATTTGGATTGTATCAACATCCTAAAAATTTTGCAGTCTTCCTTCTAGCAATATTTATGGCAAATACTCTTCTCTACTTTTTCTTCTATATTGTAATGAAGGTAAATTACCTTTTTTCATCTATATTCTCAAAGGTAGCATATCTCTGTATGAGTAAAACACAATTTTTCTTAGATTTTGAACTAAAAACCTGGTATGTTTTCTGTTATGAAGAGGAGAGTACTAAATCACGCTTTTAAGTACACCTAAAAATGGCGCTAAAAGTGTAGAGACTATTAATTATTATTATTGTTTTTAAGTTTGTGTTTCTATTTATTTATTACTTTATGATAACATTATTTTAACTCGATAATAATGATCTGACACAGTTTTTACGTACAGCATAATGAAAATTTAATTAGTGAATACGAAAAAAAATTAATTTCAACAGTTATATGATTGAAAAACTTTTGTAGTGATTAATTGAAATAAATTGCTGAGAATTTTTGAGCTTTAAAAGTTTTTATCATATTACAACAACATATTTACATTTTTTAGTATATAAATGGAGAAAGAGTTCGGATAATGACATGGATCTTCCTATTTTTTTCTTCAGTCTGTGCCGTTTCAGCTATGTATTTCTTCCTACACAAGTCAATTTCATGGTCGGTAAGTGTTTGAGTAGATTAATGAGACAGAAGAATGAACATACTTCTATTTTGTGATTTGTGCATATTTGGGATAACTACAGAGTGGTAATTTGAACGTCAAACTCAAGGAAAACATTGATTATTATCATAAGGAACCTATTTATAAAACATTCAGTAATAATAATAATAATAAGATGCTTTATTATCATAAGACATAATCTTGTAGACAAAGCTTGGGTAGTACATACTTAAAAAAATGCAATACATACCAACTGAAATAAAAATATAAATGGTGCTTAGGTACAAACTATGTTAAAATGGATGATATAAAAGATATGTATATATAAAAGAGTGAAAGTCAAGTTTATAAAAGTGTAGACATGAAAAGTAACAACTTAAGAGCTCCTTAATAAGTAAAGATAAAAATATGCGTAAGTCAGTTAAAACCTATCGTTAAAATATTCATCCAAAGTATAATAGGGTCTATCAGATAGAAATTGTTTGTCTAACTTCCTGAATTGGAAGTCATTTATATTGGCAGATCTTATGTCCATAGGCAAATGATTGTACATTTTTCCACCGTTGTAAAATATGGAGTCTCTAGTAATGTTTTTGGTTGGCACAGTGAGTTTCAGAGTGTGTCTGCAGTTTCGGGTGTTATAATGGAAAGAGGATGCTGCAAAAATTTAATATATGCTTATTTATTAAACACACAGATTCCAGTATAAATAATGCAGTTACCGTTAGAATATTATGTTTTTTGAAGAACGTTCTACAGGAGTCTCTTGGTTTAAGGTTTCCTATATACCTTATTGCCCTTTTCTGTAAAATTAGTAGACATTTGAATAAAGTTAAAAAACTGCATGCTCCCCTAAACGGTATTCCGTAGCGTAAGTGAGAATCTATGAGTGCAAAGTACGTCATCTTTGCAATGCTGAACCCCAATTCTTTATAAATCACTCTAACCGCATAACAGCCAGAGACTTTTCTAGTGAGTTGTTTAACACGATCCACAAATTTTAAATTCTGGTCAATGAAGACTCCTAGAAATTTAGTGTTATTTTTAGATTCCAGTGATCTGTCTTCAAAAGAAAGTTCGTTGATTGAGTATCTAAATGATAATAAATTTGTTTTAGTTAAGTTAAATATAAAATGTTTGAATCACACCAATCTTTAACTTTTTTCAATTCGGCAGAGATTATTTTGTGCAACTCACAAGTGTTTTTATTATTCCAAAGTATGGTAGTGTCATCTGCAAATAAGGTGAACTTCCCAGAAATATTAAGCTTGGTTAGGTCATTAATATATAATAAGAAAAGAATGGGAACTAACACAGAACCTTGTGAAACACCAGAATTAATTTCCCCGTTTTTTGAAAGTTGAGTTGTTTTGACCATTTGCGTCCGTTCCATTAAGTAGGAATCGAACCATTTGTGAGTTACTACTCTGCATCCATAACGTTGGAGCTTTCTCAGCAATATTTTGTGATCAACGCAGTCGAATGCCTTTGATAGGTCACAAAATACTGCGGCAGTATTTTTACCGACATTTATCTCAGAATAAACATATTTTTATTATTCTGGAAGCCGAATTGATTTTTACTGATGATGTTATGCTTATTTATTAATCCAAGTAGTCGTTTTTTAACTAATTTTTCAATGATTTTTGCGATGGTTGGTATGCGAGATACACTTATCTGTTGTAATATTGATTTACACAAATGTGAAATTCTGCTCTTGATCATAATCACTATAGGTATTATTGAGTGAGCCAGTGTTATAATTACATATTTTTTTGTAAAGATAATAAAGACATTATATCACATAACATATCCCTAAGAATATAAATCAGCGAGAATAACGGAAAGCCAAAAGAAAGATGTTTTTTGATAAAATACTGTGAATATTAGCAATTATCTATCATATTATAGTACGAAGTTGTAAGATTAAAAAAAGAAGTTTTTTACATCTCGGAAAATTCCCAATAGCTATTCAATTTGTCATGGTTAACATTAAATGCTCATTACGGAGCTTGGGCTCATTAACTCACTGATTGATATATAATAAAGAAGATACCATTAAACTGTCCTACTTTACCACTGCATGCACATTTATCCATATCATTCGTTGATCCTAGTAATAATTTTGTATTGATTCTGCTTTTCACATTTTCCTGTTTTGCCAAAATTAATGATTATATTAGCTAAGTTTTGACATAAAATGTCAATTTTTTACCTGTTTTACCGTATTTAATCATGTATGTAATCACTGTTATCATTACTTGCCGTTATATAAAGGACATTGAAGAATAGTTTGATTTACCAGTATTTGATAAAGTTACCATGTAACGAAACGCGTTTTTTATAAATGTCTTGTGAAAATTCTAAAATTATTATCAACAGGTCAGAGTAATCATGAATTACATATTTCACTAACAATACTTTCACAAAGGTATTGGAGAGGAATGTTCAGACATTTTCTTTGTTTTCCTTGAGCAATGGTCCCTTTGAATACATGTTGTAGGTTATAAAGATTAGTAAAGTATTCCCTTATCAATATCTAATTTTGTTTTTTTTTAGAAAACTGCTGCTGAATCAAGACAATTCAATATGGAATGCAAACTACTTATGTTTTATGATTTTCATGACATATGGCATTTTTTGAGTGCCATCGGTATGTTTTTCACTTTTATGGTATTGTTGACAATGGACGATGATATTTCACATACACATCATTCACAGATTCCAGTGTTTTAATTGTGAGCGGTGTGTACACAAATATCGACATAGTGACTCGCCTTCCGAATTCTGAGCAACGCCTTGATAATCAAATCAATTGAAACTATTGAATTGTCTATGTTTTTATTTTTAAAAATATTGATAAATCACATAAACGAAAAAGTTCCTATCAAGAATGATGACAATTACCTATCATTTACGTTTATTATCAATTAATTTTAAACCATGCTATCCTTATATTTCTAAGTATTGATGGAAGCAATAAAAAGTATAAAACAATGACAAGAAGTTTTAATTGACCAAAGTTATGTTTGCTCAGAAATTAATGATTTATAAGGATTAGAATGTTCTTTTATATGAAATATCTGGCTGTTATGTAAACACTACTTCCAATTAAATTTAATGCAGCAATTGCATCAGATTTAATTGATAGTGTAGTTATTTTATTATTGTGATACATTTTATACAAATACATGTAGGCTAAAATTTAATTACATACTGGCTATTGCTATCTCAGTTAAAAGTAAGACATATGTTTTCTTCAACAATGTATATCTTTTGAAGAACAATTTGATAATTATTGGACTTCAATTGAATGTTTTTGTCAATCTGATGATTCAAGATTCAATATACGTTTTCAGTTTTTTGACAGGTTTTTAAACAGGAAGGTCAACTATTCACATACTTTGTACAAGTTGGTTCTGAATATCTTAAAGGTTGACCATTATATTCAAAGTTCCCAAAGTCGCCTGATAATATTTTGATGATAAGTACTCTGTAATAGATGATTAAGAGTTCGTGCATACTAAGTAACTTGAAAGCGAAATCCTTTTCCAGATATCAGGGAATCTATTCTTGGCTCGTCGCAATGAGAATGTGCGCTCTCTTTTCAATATTCCAGTCAGATCATTTTTCATATTATTAAACGATTGTTCTTAGAATGTAACAACAGAAATCGTTTTGATGTGAAGGTTCCAGAATAGATTATACTTAAGTATCTGTTCTTCTCTTGTCACATCAAAAACGTCAATAACCTGGATGAAAGTAAATCCCCAAAAATTCGCCTTTCAAACGAACAAGTAGGCATACTTTTTCAACCAAATCAATTACACTATTACTGTGCAGATATTAGCTTTGTCAAAATGATTTGAGCCTGGCGAATCGGGAAATTTGAAACTATAATGGTTGTTTATACTGAAAAAGTAAAATGTTTCTCTGAGAATCTTATTTTTAAAACTTGTTTTTATAATTTTTCTATCGATTATAGTGTGTTTAATTATCTTTTCGCCAAGTATAATTTTAATTTCTTATTCGAATATTTAATATACTCTCATTGATTTATCTGTGTTTTGTTGACGGAACCTATTGGAATTCTCTTTGCTGAATAAACTCCTTATTACTCACTTTCACTGGAAGTTCTCAAAGGGAATTTGATAGCCAAGAAGGAATAACAGAACAATCAGTGGTGGTGAGATCTAAGTTACTACAATTGTAGTCTATTATTGAACTTGTGATGCACTGTTTGGAATGTTTGGTGTGGTAATATTATAGGGGTTTTATCCCAACACCAAACCGTAATTTTTAACACCTCGACACGTGTTTCAATCACCAAGTGATAATCTTCAAGAGGAAGATTGAATCTTCCTTTTCCTTCAAGAGAGTTATTCCAGCTTCACTTGAACCATTGAAGTGAGGTGATGCAGGAGCTTTGGGTACAAAAGAAAACGCGCTTGTAGGCCATTCACCTGGAGATAACATTAGTCAAAGGGGTCTTTTAAACCACAATGGACGAGATATCAATTTTGAGGGCAGAAGTTCTCAAGGGTCATGACCCGCAGGATTGCCTGCTGAACCCACTTGGAACCAACATTCTGGAGAAAATCCTTCTTAAAGGCTTCCAACAGTGAGACCGAGATTTTATCCATGGCAACGCTACCAAGCAGCAAATACTTCATTTAATGAAAAAGTATACAAAGCGTATCACATGGATACTATAACACACACCGGAAATAATATCATCTACATGAATGTCTAAACTGAGCATACACAACTTTGAGAGAAATTCATTTTCTCAACGGTAATCAATTGCGAGATTACTCTGAGAGAAAGAAATGGAGCTGATGATAATCAAAATGGAACTACTTGCAATTTATAATCTTGAATCGGATCTTCAGGAGATAATCGATAAAGAATTCCTTATACTCTTGGAGACGTTCGTTCACTAGGTTCTAACGATACAGCTCTTTGAGATAGATCTATGATGAATATGATTGGGTGGTCTCGAAATGGTCATGGAGACCTCATTCAACAAATACTGTAGTAACGTAGATGTTTTCTCTATTACGTTGAATTCCTTTAAAATAACTATGAAAAGAATATTCAACACATAGCAAAAATAATGAATAATTGGTTAGTACGTACGAAATTTATTACTTCATTAATTTTTATTTCTTCTTGTGTCTGATGACACCTAGTAACTCTGTAACCACTACTATTAGTAGATGCTTCTATAGGTATTTACTAGTTTGTATCCCAAATTTCAAATAAATAAATAAATTCCATCATATATGTACTTTCGAAGATATAGCCACACAAAAGGCAACAGGTACACACTTATGATGATAAGTGAAGTAACATTATTTTCATGTTGTGGACTATCAATCATCAATTTCAAATGGAAAAAACTTATATTTCATCAAAATTACTTTTTTACACGCTTTATATTGGTTTCACCTGTATGTATGCATGTATGAATGTATGTATGTTTGTTTATTTGTAACTCTCAAGATCGGTATCTGTATATAAAGAATTACCGATATTATTGCTTGATCTATTCGCGGGCAGATGGCGCTGTACGTAACCTCCTTGATATAACTCGAAGTCACTTTACATGTTTTTCTTCATTTGAAAAAAGTTTGTTTTATTAACACGCGCGCCTGCTGTCTTATTTGTAACCCTCCTTTGCGCGCCTGCTGCGTTGGGCTAATAAAACAGGATTACCTCAAACAAAACGAGGGTGAATGTTAAAATTTCGCGGACTACGTATATTCGATTAACGATTTTTAANTTCATAGTTATTATGAACAAATGAGAAAAAATACTTGTAACACTTGTATGGATATTCTTCCATTAGTCTTCAGCTCAACTGTTACAATTATTTCACTAGATCACTTCCATCTTCCACTTCCACTTCAATCTCAATGTCTGCACTAAAATTGATTATCTAAGCACATTTGACACAATTTATAAGCAGATAGAAGTGTCTTAAACTGTGTTCATGTGCATTCATCTTTTTCTGAAATAGAAATCACAATGAGTCTTATATTTTGATTTTTTTTTCATTCTTGGTAAATGCAGAAATGTATCTGTTCATCATTATAATGAAGACAGAGTTAACCCATTTCTCTAATAAATATTTACACCATTTATTTACATTCTTGGTAATGCAGAAATGTATCTGTTCATCATTATAGTGGAGACAGAGTTAACTCATTTCTTTAATAACTATTTACACCATTTATTTTGATACAGATTTTAAACAGATTTATTTTGATACTTACTAATTTGAAATGCTTTAACTAGAAAACATGTTAAAGCATTATGAAATTGGTCCCAGTTTCTCATTATATATTTAAAACAGTTTACTTTTCCGATATTGACATGTTTTTTATTCACTGTTTAGCTTTTACTAAACTTCAGCTGTAATGAGTGATTTAAGTGAAATGTGAATAGATAGATCAATCTGTAGTTGGTGATTGAGCGGAAATTTAGAGAAACTGATTATCATGATGTGTAGGCTTTTGCGACCGCTGTATTATAGTGTGTTTAATTATCTTTTCGCCAAGTATAATTTTAATTTCTTATTCGAATATTTAATATACTCTGATTGATTTATCTGTGTTTTGTTGACGGAACCTATTGGAATTCTCTTTGCTGAATAAACTCCCTATTTCTCACTTTCACTGGAAATTCTCAAAGGGAATTTGATAGCCGAGAAGGAATAACAGAACAATCAGTGGTGGTGAGATCTAAGTTACTACTTGATGTAATTTCGAATGTATGGCTTTGGTAGCAAAATATCAAAAGAGAATATATAAGCTTTTGATGATCTAACTCCTTGTCCTTTTGAAGGTCTTTTAAGAAAACGTCCTCCATAATCCCCTCCAACATAGGAGAAAGGAATGTTTGTAATCATATTCTAAACCTGAATAATGCAAGAGACTCCCTACCCTGAACCATCCTCTCAAACAAAGGGATTTAACTTTCAGAATGTTTTGTTTAAGAAAGTGAACTATTTGAGTTTGGTGATTTGATTTTCATTAGTATCATTAGTACTTTGTGGTAAGTTCACTTTCCGTGGAAATTTAATTTCTTTTAGAGATAAAAACGAAGTTGTTTAAAAAAAATCTGTTTTTCCGTTAATCAGCTGACACTGAGTATCTCTGTAACCACTACTATTAGAGGATGCTTCTATCGGTATTTACCTGTTTGTATCCCAAATTTTTAATAAATAAATAAATTCAAAGATGTACCTAGAGGCGATATACTATATGCATCAAATACCACTACTACTTTTGTTGTACTACTATTAGACTTCATAACACAATGATGAAGGTAAAATATATTATCGAAGGACTCATTGCCACTATATGATCATGTCATTAGGTAATCTTCAGGAAACTGAATAATCGGCTTGCAAATTTGGGTTCCTTAGTAATCGTCTTTCCAATGAATAGAAATGTGATAGGGCAAATTATCAAATATTACCGAAACAAAGATTAGGAGGAGGAACGATACATCAACCAAAAATATTTTGAGTAAAAGAAGAGACTCGGCTTTTTCTTATTCAGGATAGATTGGTTAAATGTGGCGAATCCACATGCTGACATCAGAACGTATCTTAGATAAAATGATAGTTTCAACTTCAATATTAGGACAGGTCTAATTATGTGGTAATTAATTGTTATTTGATCAACAAACTTGGTAACACTCAAGTACTGATAAGTAGTAATTGAAGTTTTATGAGAGTAATGTATGATCAAGTAAAGAGTAAGGTACACGAAGAAAATATATTTTAATATCAACATAATTTTGTATTTCTACAAGTTGTTGAAAAATAAAAACAATTGTTGATTACGTCAATTCTGAAGAATGAAAATATCAAAACGTAAAAACCTAAAACTTGTTTCTTACATTAAAATCTTAAAGATTTAACCCTCAGAGTGGACGTGATGACACCAAGTAGTAAAGTCATTAATAACCTAGTCTAAATACTTTCTTACAAAACTTGAATAATTGCAACATACAATAAACAGTTTGTTGATGTTACATTTCATGTCCTGCTGCCTGTCGAAGCAATATGTATATTTTCTCTTTTATCCAATCCTTATTGTAGGGAGCATAAGTATTTGTAGACTTCTGATATACAAGACAGCTCAGATCAGATAGCTGAAAAAAATTATTGATATTATTCAACATTTGAATTTTCTAACTTATTTAAAATTTTTGTTAATAAATGACATGAAAAACTCGGGATTATTTAATGAAGAATCAATTCTTCACAAATTAAAAATCTGGTCTGTACAGTACAAAATCTCACTATTTGACAATATTCATTTATTCAGAATTGGGAAATCAGAAAACAATCATTTTCATCTATTCATGCGAAAATGAATGTACTCTGAACTCTGCCCATTCCAGTTAATATTATTTTATATTGTAATAATCTGGAATGATTTTATTATTAATATGGCAGATTTAATTTCTCTTGGAAATGATTTCAATGATTATATTAAATAACTTCACTTCGTTCCAAACCAAATCATGTGATAACGTTTTGGAGTGTAAAATATGCATTCTGCATTTCATAGTTATGTTGGTTAACTTTAAACTCAAATGTGTGTCAGTACGTTCAGGTGTTTTCTGAGATTCAGTTTGCTAAGTTAGTCTGCTGTCTTCACACCTGAATTCTGAGTAGGCAGTTTTAAAACAGTTTTGCACCCAAAAAACAGACAAAGTGACAATTGTCAGTTCTATGAAACTTTGATATGGCATATACTTGTTCAAATGCATTCATCATCATAATTATTGTATTTTCATTCTTCTGGTATAGAATACACAGAAAAGTATCATGCTTCAGTGTGTAATTAACAACAATAATAGTAATGTTTTCTTATTCAAACTAGAATAATAAGAGTGAAAGGGTGGAATTCAGTCAATTCTATCAGTTGATACTTGTAACTCATAACTTCTTTCTTTTCAAAAGTAGAGTTTGCTGCATGTTTTTGAAGGTTGTAGAGTACAAGTTTATATTACAGGAGTATGTTTATGAATGATCAAGATGCTAATCATAAAATGAATGCTGGATTTTCAAATGGCTGCATGTTGAAATTTCATCATGGATTTTATGTAACTCCTTAAGTATTATTTTTAATAATAAGCATCCAAGTGTCCAAGATTTAAAATTATCAGAACAGTTTGAATATCTACCTAACTTAATAACATATTTGCATCATATGCCCTTAATTCTCAATGGAAAAATCAAGGTCCAGTGTTAGAGATACTATTTAATAACAATTTTACCTGATCAACAAAATCGAATAGTTGAGAAATATCATATGTGATAGTTGGTGTGTTGGGGTTTCTTCTTTTGAGATGCTCTTCGTAAATTCTGCATACGCCTTCCATACACTCATTTACTGACTCATAATCTGAATATGTACGTGATTCAGGATTCGAACTTGGTTGAACCAGAAGAATGGTGTGGGCCTAGAAAAGTCAAAGCATTATTTTATAATGAAGAGAATGCTGGATTTGAATAATCAAAATTCAAACAGAACACTGAGAATATTTATTACTTTTGTGTTTCAAAACCTTCCATGAGTCCAAAATTGCATTCAATTGTTTAGAAACTAGTTGAATCGGAGTTTTTAGTGCAATATCAATTCAGGAAATCCCACCTCCTGTTATTCAGGGTGTCATACGAAATTTTAAGAAGTTAATCATAAATATTTATGCATGAGCATGGATATTAAGAAATCGTAAACAAGTTATCATTAATTTTAACTGAAATATTAAATAGCTTACTTACTTTAATATTAATGTGCAGGAGGTGTAAGTAATTACTATTAACAAATAAAAACAAATTCTCAATACTTAAAACTTGTGATACGACGCCTTGAGACTGATGAATGAATCCACCCTTAGAAAGTTTTTGTAAAGTTCCTTGAATTAAAACTAACAATATTTGTGACGATTGAAGTTTGACAATAAATATTCTCATGTACTTTTTTGGACTCAGTATGTAGATGAGGAATTACAAGGAGAATCTATCTAGTTTCTACAGCTTACCATGACAAATGTGTTTGATTCTTTTTTTTTTATGCGGAATACCAATGATATCTTTATTTTTTTACTGAATTTAAGCAAATTATCTACAAAAATTAAGATTACAAACCTATTGAATAGGTTAGAGTCGAATTTCAAGTTATTCTTCTTCTTCTTCTTTTCGATTCAATGGCTCCAGCAACTGAATTTTAAGTTAAGGAAGATTGAAAGACAAGTGATTATCATAAAATAGGTGTGTTCGTTTAATACATACCTGACGCTTGATTAGCTCGCATCACTCGACAATCGTTCGATAATGCAGATCTGTTATCTGTTACATCAGCTCTGTGTTAGATATTAAAGAGAGCGAGAAAAAATGTGATTGATTAGCTCCGAAATCAACGTTAGTACCGGACATATTTTTAGTTGTCATTTGTCATATCTAAGGAAATTTTGTTGAGTTTTAGATATTTTTTGCAAAATTTTGAGCTCTTGTTTGCCATCACAAAGAAAAGTTTACGACACATTCTCATTGACATAAAAGTGCCTTTTCTGAAGCTAGTCATTCAAAAATGTTTGTAACAAATATTTGCATTATGAGAAAATTATATATTACAGATCTATTGTACACACACGCCGACCGGTGTTCGGCGTCGACCACCGATAGGCATGTGTGCCAGGTCCCGTCCCCACATGTGGTTTAACTATTGGAATTTGGATGACCGGTATAAAATCGGTCGATATTTTATTGGTAGCGGGTGCTTGCACAGTCACCGGATTTTTATCGGTCAAATCAGTTGCTTTGTTGTCGTAATTACCACGCACTACCAAAACGAAGTTAATGCGTAGTAACTACAATTTAACCGAGCATTCGAGACTGGAATGGTCGGTAAAAAACCGGTGAGTTTGCAAGAGTGTATTTAGTCATGTACGCCACTACTTCCCGGTACTGCCGGCGATACAGTGGCAGTGGACGGCTGCTCACCGGTATTTTACAGGCGACGATCACCGGTTGGCGTGTGTGCCAGGTCCCGTTCCAACATGTGGTTCACTATTGGAATTTGGACGACCGGTACAAAGTCGGCCGTCCAAAATCGGTGTGTGTGCAACTAGCGTAACGCGTAAGGTAACAAGGCGGTTTACCCTCCCATAAGAAATTATCACTTTGAAACTTCAATATGTAAAACTAAAGTTAGATGTTTGTGATGACAAACAATACCACAAGCCTCAACTTTTCGTTTCAGACCGTACAAGGGCCAGGTCTTCTCAATCTGGTAATATTTCTTTTCACAGTCCAAAAGGCTCGTAGCCTAGCTCGTAGCTCGTGGACTAGCATCAACTAACACTTGAGTTATCAAGTACGAGTCGCAAAACTTATTCACGTATTCAATATTCGTGAAAATACCATTTAGATTTTTGAATGCTTTTTTTTGATGCTGTGTTCATTATTTTTTACATTTGCGTGTTTTCCAAGTTTCAGTCTGAGCAATTCTATTAAGCGGCTCAGCTAGGGTTGATAGCCACATATCTACGTATAGTCGATGAGCTAAGAAATAACTTTGAACTTCATCAGTTGGGTTCAGTTCACGAACAAATTTAACGACATAAATGTCGCTGGCAGGTAGTTACATTTTCTCCAGAGACAATTCATAATCGAGGAATGGAACGTATTTCATTTGAAGATGCATTTATCTTTAAAGTAGTATTTCGATTATTACAGTTTGTATATCCCAGTTGAGATGGATCACCACTATGAAATAAAAAACAGAAACTTACTTATCACGAATTCACTTGTCTCCTATGAAATTACGAATAATTATATGTTATCTTCAACAAGAGAACTGAGTCAAAATTATGCCATGCATCCTTCTATCATTGATAGTTTACTGATCTTTCAATATACTATACACTTTTGATGCACTGTTTGGAACTTGGAACCTTTGGTGTAGTAATGAATATTACTGGAGTTTCATCTCAACACCAAATCGTTATTTTTAACACTTCGACACGTGTTTCGATTAATAAGTGATCATCTTCAAGAGGAAGATTAACCAGTTTAATATTCCTCTTGAAGATGATCACTTGATCAACCTGTCGAAGTGTTAAAAATAACGGTTTGGTGTTGGGATAAAACTCCAGTAATATTCATACTAACTTGTTATACCAACATGAATACCTGATCCAGAAGGCAAATAGGCAAAAAGCATTTGAATTAATGAATTGATGGATGTAGCTGTTAGTACGTGGTAGAATATTATCAACAAAAATGAGAAAAATAAAACAGAAAGTTTTATTTCTCATTTTTCAACATTTGAGTTAAATATTTCTGCATTTTGGTTACATTCAAATGTTGTAAATTATTGGAAAAAGTGAAATAATGAAAATTATTTCACATTTAAGATGTCAGTTCTGCAGTGCAATTGATGTGATACCTCGAATGAGTGTCCTTAGAACCAGCTTGGATGTATCTTAATTCGTATTGAAAGTTCATGAGCCTTTGAATGTGGAGATGTCCCCAGATCATTGATTAGAGCCAGTTTTTCACTGGTGGCAGTCAGTATATTGTGACTGCCGATTAATTAAGTTTATTGCTATTCCAAAATTTTTGGTATTGAAGTTAAAATGCTTCAAATACATTCGCTCTTTGCTAGCGTTCAAGTAGTAAAGAATAATGATATTGACATATTTAACAAAATTATTTTGAATGGTCAACATTTTGAATTGTATGCATTTCTCATTCATCAATCTTTTATGTTCAATAATTTCAAATGGTTCATATTCAAGGATTCCTTGGTAAACCAAGTTTCAATATGGAAGATACAGTATGGTTTAACTACCTGTCCATACATTCTAGATTATTATAAAAAGGATAACTTGGACTGCCTTGTCAAGGTGGTTCTGTAGGTTTTCTCAGGGTTTTCTTCGATATGAAAGGTGAATGAAGTATCCAAAGAACACCCTGGATTACTAAGACTAACTTCAACGTTATTGTACGTTACATCGTACGTTATTTCGGCAGTTTCATGTTACTTTTTCTATAAATTTACCACTTTGTTTAATTATTCCTTGTTCGTTTTGAAGTCAATGAATTTCTTATTTTATTATTTCCTGAATTATATAGAGATTTTGATATTTAGATTTGCAAAAGTAAAAATTTCACATTGGCTTCTCTACAAACAAGGATGAAAGCATTAAGCTACCAGTCAGATATCTTCATTTGAATGTGATCCATATTAGTTTCTGCTTGGCACTGGTTTGATCACTGGGAAATGCTAGAAGATTGTCATCCCTTCATCTCAACTCTCCATCAAATTTAAAGAACAAAAACAATTCTTGGTTGATAATAAAATATCAATTATATAATACACATTCATCATAAAAATAACTTTGCTTCTTTCAGTAAACTACCTCATCTCATTTCAATACCTGAATGTGAATGAATAAACTATCTCAAAGATGAATATATTGTTTTGCGCTAACATTATTTCAAATTGAATTTTAATATTAGAATTGTGATCAACAATATTCAAATCGAACTAGAGATTCATCAATCCTTCAACTGCAGCAGTCTTATTGGCAATTGTATTATCATAAAATCATTTATGTTTTCAAGTAATTTTATTTTTTCGAAACAGTTCTTTCTATGAAGCCATTCCTATTAGGAAGTATGAGGTTTCACCTAAGAATATTTTCCTGATTTTTGACAGGTAATTCGCAAGTTATGATATAAATTGACCAAAACATAAGCTTGCATTAGTGCCTCCAAAGCCAAAGGCATTTTTGAGTGCAATTCTTTTACTAGGCGACCTCCATTCCTGAGCGGTTAGAGGTACAAAGTTGATATCTTCATCCTCTATTGATTCTAAATTAATAGTAGGTGGCAATATACCCTCCTTTATTGCTAAAATACTGAAAACTGCCTCCAAATTTCCTGCAGCACCTAGTAAATGTCCGTGAGCACCTTTTGTGGATGAAACTGCTATGTTATTGCAACTATTTCTGAAAAGTTTTTTTATTGCTCTTGTTTCTATGGCATCTCCAAGAGGTGTGGATGTAGCATGAGCATTAACATAAGTAACATCATCAATATTGATTTTAGCATTGTTTATAGCTCTTTTCATTGCAAGATAAGCTCCAGTACCATCTTGTCTGGGTGCTGTTAAGTGTGATGCATCCCCAGATAAACCATAGCCTAAAACTTCTGCATAAATGTCAACATTTCGACTCAGGGCATGATTTAATTCTTCCAATATCAATATTGCACTCCCTTCACCCATTACAAACCCGTCCCTCAACTTATCGAAAGGTCTAGAAGCCTTTTCAGGTTCATTATTGAAAGAAGTACTCAGAGCTCTCAGTCTACAAAACCCTGCTATGGAAAGGGGTGATATACTAGCCTCGGTACCACCACATAACATTATATCAGCATCTCCATGTTTTACAAAACGAAATGAGTCACCAATAGCATGAGCTCCTGTAGCACACGCTGTTGAAATTGCATGATTTGGTCCTCTCAAACCAAATTTTATGCTTATTTGACCAGCAGCCATGTTAGGTAGAATTCGTGGTACAAAAAAAGGACTAACTTGATGGTAGCCCTTTTTCAAAGAGTCATATGTTCTACAGATATCTTCCAAATCTACCATTCCCATTCCCACAGCTACACCACTATTATTCTTCAGTTCATCACTCATGGTTTCCAAATTCGCATCTACTAGAGCTTCTTTAGCAGCTAACAAGGCAAAACCTGTTGCAGGAGCCATTGTTTTCAGCTCTGATTTACTGAAGTAGCTGCTTAACTCTAATCTTGATCCCTTATCTTTAACAAAACCTGCTATTCTACAGGGGAACTGCTCATATTCTGGTGCATCCAGTTTGACTATTCCAGATTTCCCAGCTACAATTTCTTTCCAGGCTTCTCTCAGTCCTGTGCCAATAGGTGAGACTACTCCCATTCCAGTTACGACAACCCTGCGGTGCATTTTATTTCCTTCTTTTTTGAGTTTGAATTTTATAGTTTCTAGTCTTTTCTGATTCAATTCACAGAGCTTTCTAAAAACAAAAAATGAAAAATGGTTCTTTAGTAATCGGCAGGAATCTGACTGAATGATTTCAGATAATACAATTTTAAATTTGTGGGCTCCTTCAAACACTAACCTGTAGTTAGATTTTCAAAACAGTCCCTCAAGTTGAAAAGTTACCTATATCAATACATGGAAAGGTTGAAAAGTCATAGCTTCCAGGAAAGAGCGAAGATGAAAAAACACTCCATTGTGTCTGAAAGTTACTCATTTGTATGATCTACACATCTTTGTATTTAGTTAATTTTCGGAATTGATTGCTTGCTTCCTTTTTTTGGAAGTTTCCCACATTTTTTTGAATCAAGATGGAGAAGTAGAAAGCAAAAACCTTTCTCAAAAATTGTTTGTATATAATTTTGATTTAGGAACTCATTACTCAATTCATTTACTAATTTCATTTCATTAAAGATCATGATGATTTATTCTCTTCATTGTATACGCGTAACTTATAATTTTTGTCTTTTACATTACATATATATTTTCTATAATACGCAAAACAGCTAATGTTGGCAGCGGTTCTTCCGGTAGAAGTTAAAATTAAAAACCAAGTTGGGACATTGAATTGTTGGTAACACTGCGTTACCAGTTTAACTGTCTATCTGTTCTGTCTTCACACTTCTCTTCAATATTAGCTCTCAGAAATGGCGGTGGGTAAAAATAAAGGTCTTTCTAAAGGTGGCAAGAAAGGAGTGAAAAAGAAGATGTGAGTTGAAATATTTATTCCAATTTCTTAGTGAATACATTGACTTTGTGAAATATCGATTTCAAACGTTAAATAACATACGATGTCATAGAAATATGTGGATATGATTTTGATTCATGTTTTCAATATTGTAAAATATCTTTTGATTGTTCGTGTGATGATGAAACTAATCATCTAGTCATTATTTTCATCTAGTCATTAATAATTTTGTATTGCAAACTCCTAAAATGTATAAGAAATTATTTCTTTAGAGGTTAACTTAATGTTTACATGATGAGACACTCAGCTCGCTTTGAGACACACATGAAGATAATATTTTGTTCCCTAACGACGCAATTCTTCAATCTCTGAATTTCGTTTAGTAAATTGGTTTATTAGTATTTGGCAAATACTAGATTTTTGAATACTTATTATTTTTCAGTGTAGACCCGTTCACAAGAAAAGATTGGTATGATGTCAAGGCCCCGTCAATGTTTGCCACCCGACAGGTTGGCAAAACCTTGGTAAACCGTACCCAAGGTACCAAGATTGCCTCTGAAGGTTTGAAATCCAGAGTGTTTGAAGTATCCCTTGCTGACTTGCAAAACGATAATGATGCTGAACGCTCCTTCAGGAAGTTCCGTCTTATTGCTGAGGATGTGCAGGGTAATATTCTGAAATATTTAATTAAATTATGGAAAAGTAAAGACTTGTAAGATGATGATACACTCAGCTCGCATTGAAACACACATGATGATAAATTTATGTTCCCTAATGACGCAAATTTTCATTGTATCTGATTACATGTGGATTATTTTGAGAGATCAGTATTAGGTTTAGGACCTGGTTTCCAAATATTTGCAGTTCTGTGCAAACATAACTTCACATTCTTTCATGCAAACCTGTTTTATTTGCATATCTAATGTTTCAAAAATACTAAATTTCGTTCACTAATGAATATGGTTGCGCAACCACTGGGTCATACATGATGGTATATGAAGAAACAATCCTATTGTCGAGTGTCACACGTGAGACATGAGTCTTGTAAAAAGTAAGTTGTCATGACTTTTGAAACATTCGATGTAGTATAAGGTATTTTCTGATATTGCTATTCTTCCACTTTCCATATCTCTAACACCGGTAACCAAGTACGATCCATTCTAAAAGGACTGTTTAAAATACACTTCTGTCCAGATAAAAGAATGTATGCTGATCCAATAGGTTTATGCTTTTTAGCATGTGGTTCATTGGTGATTGATAAACCACATCATATTGAGTCTTATAGCTATAAATGAAACAACCACCCATCGAGGTCTGTTAAAAAAAGTTCATGAAATTCATTTTTTCTCAATAAATATTTAATTTCTTTATCAATTTCTATTTTTCCCTTTCAAAGCTGTCCTTCTCAGATATAATACACCTGTGCTAGCATTTTTTTCAATCCTCAAAGCAGTTCTGATATGTACTTTTTGGTATGTCCTTGTACTCTCAGCCATTTGGTTTTCATCTCCTCAATTGTTGCAAAACACCGCTCTTTCATGGGTACCAACAAGCATTGGTATGATTGGACTTATGGTTTTGATGTCATTACTATATACTTATAATTCCTCACCAGTTATGACCCTCTTAAGCAAATCTGGATTGTCTGACGTTACTCAACAATTCCTCAGCGATGCTCATGCAATGGTTTTTCGTGTATAAATTCAGAAATTTTGAAAGAACGTTGCTGCCTCACACTTTATGCCTGGAATTTCTTCTTTCTTCTAACTTAAATGCTTCTCACCGACAAACTAAACATGCTAAACAGCTGAAACTGTGAACATATGTTCGAGACTAGTGTACCAACATAGAACAATGCTTAATCGAATGTACATAGCCTTATTTTTTTTTGAATAGTCCATATATAGCTCAAGAAGATTCAAACAAGAATTTTTTATGTTGTTTCACCTTTTTAATAAATCGGATTTTTTAATAATGCATACAAGATGCGAGTTAGAATTCTTGTTCTGTTGACTAACAAATTTTGAGGTAAAGAAAATTAGCATTGTCACTAAGATTATGCTGTTTGATGAACCAGCCTGCCCAACTATATAACAAAAAAATTATTGTAGATACTGATCTCTCACTGAATTTTGTTGAACATTAGCTTTTTTTTCCATTATAGGTTCAGCATTGATGAAAGTATAATTGGGTTTTCAGGTAGAAATGTATTGACCAATTTCCATGGCATGGATTTGACTACTGATAAACTGAGGTCAATGGTCAAAAAATGGCAGACGTTGATTGAAGCTTCAGCTGATGTCAAAACATCTGATGGATACCTGTTACGAGTATTTTGTATTGGTTTTACAAACAAAGACCAATTGTCTCAGAGAAAAACTTGCTATGCTCAGCATACACAAGTAAGCTTTATACACATGATCCCTATAATAATTCATCAACTTACTAGTGAATCATTGAAATAAACAATAACAAATTCCAAAAATGCAAAAAAATTGTTCTACGAACGAAATATACAGTCCATATTTGCTGGAATCAATTCATATATGATAGAATTGACTGTTACTTAATGAAAATACATTATAGTGTATATAAAAAACACACTTTAATGTGGTATTTCCACTTGTTAGTTTACAAAACCACATGTGTTTTGCTCTACAATGGCATTTTTGGGCGTCAATACATACCTTTATTATGACACCTGAAGATGCCATTGTATATTGAAACACGGGCCGCTTTTTTGTAAACTTTCAAGTGAAAATCTCATATTGAGGTGTGTTTTAAAAGTTTTTTTCACTAAATGGTCAAGTCAAGGTTTCATTAAGCGAATTTGGTGGATTTTACAAAATTATTGTATTACTCTTGACGAGTTGAATTAATATTTTTCTAATTCATAAAGTTTGTGATTACCTATACTGATTTCAATAGATGATATGCAATATTGAAATTTTGAATCAAAATGTTATATCTTTATACTGAATGAATAATTTTGATTGATTTTGATAAATTGTTGATGATCAGTACAAAAAAAACTAATTAATACAGTTTTTTGGGTGATTTTCACCATAAAGGGTTTTACAAAAAATGACACGTATTTTGCTATACAATAGCTTTCTCAAGCGTAAAATAATTACCCTTGAAAAAGCTATAGTATTTACTTGGTTTTTATAAAACCCTTTATAGCGAAATGATTAATTAGTTTTAATATGTATTTTCATCAAGTATCGGCCAGTTCTATTCTATTACAAAAACTATTTTAAAACTAAACATTTTTCCCATTTTTCTCGAAATCCACAAGTTTTAGTGAATTCTTTCGTTATCTAACCATCAAATTAGTTACTGAAATAATGAAGTAGTATTATTAACTTCAAAACTTCTGCTGTGAAATTGTATGATATTCATTCTGAAAACTAAAACTTCAAAGACTGCATCCTGTAAATAAAATGAAATTTCAATATTTTTCATGATGACATACCTAGCTCGCATTGATACAAACATGATGATACCATCTTGTTCCCTATTGACGCAAAATTCTATTCAGTCTGATCTAATAAAAGACAGTATTTAAATAAACTGTCTCAATACTTGGATTTCATTATTTTTTGTATTTCAGGTTAGGGCTATCCGTAAGAAAATGGTTGAAAAAATTATCGCTGAAATTCAAAAGTCTGACTTGAAAGGAGTTGTAAATAAACTTCTTCCTGACAGTATAGCTAAGGATATTGAGAAAGCCTGCCAGGGTATCTATCCTCTTCACGACGTATACATCCGTAAAGTGAAAGTTCTGAAGAAACCCCGTTTCGAACTGTCCAAGCTCTTGGAGTTGCATGGTGATGGCGGTAAAGGAGGATCTGGTGAACCCGGTGGTGATGCTGGCTCTAAAGTTGATAGGCCTGAAGGTTATGAACCACCAGTACAAGAAAACGTTTAAACTTTTAAAGAATGTTGTAATAAAACTGGAAAAGAAGTAAATGCGAAGTATTTTTGAGTGCAACAGAGAAACTAAAAGTAAACTTTCCACGTAATTTCTATCAGTCAAGACCAAATGGCTTTAGTACCTGGTAGTGATTTTCAATTTTTAAAAAAAGTATTCAGACTCCTATGGTAGCACAAATGATGTAAATCATACTTTTGATATTTTTCATATTTAATCAATATTAAATATGAATATTATAGAACATAGATTGATGGATGTAGCGGTTACTACGTGGTAGAAAATCATTAAAAATGGTAATTGACAGTTTCTATGTTTTTGTACCACTTATTAGTAACTAATGTTACTGAATGTCCTACAAGGACATTCTCAAATGAATCCAATAAACTGAAATAATTAACAATGTACAATCTTATATACCTATACAACTACAGTAGCTAATAACAGACAGCCCTTAATTTTAATTACCTAAATTTTGTTCACCTGTTTACCTTTCCCTGCTAATAATCTGGATAGGCTATTTGAAACAATTATACAGATAGGGCAGAATAATGGTTGCAACGCAGATACAATCCAGAAGTTAGTCAGATAATAAAGCCTGAAATTTTCCATATTTATAGATTATTATACCCTCGTATCAGAAATCAAGAAATTTGTAACTTCAACATATCTTGATGAAAGAATAATTGTAGGATTTTTTCGGAAAAAAACAATGGGAATGGCATTCAGACCACTTGCCTGGTTATCTGATTTCATTTTTGTCGATGATAAAGTAGATAAGAAGGAAAAATCTGGAGTTTATAAGCTTGAATGTCCAGGGTGCAATAGTGTTTGTTTGGAATAGTGATTGAATTTTCTCAAAACTATGCTGAACATGAAAGGTCCGTCAGACTACATAAAAATGATTTGACGTTTTTTCAAACCATTCCTTGTAATGCAACCTGAAGTTCCCGAATCTAAACGATACGAAAATTTTGCACTATACAGGCAAGGGTTGGAAACCCAATTACTTGGAATCCTTGGAAGTTCATAAGCATTGCGGATATAACCTACTGAATGACCAAGTTGACTTGGTCTACTCGCCGTGTTTAGATTTGTATATCCACATTGTCGCAGCTAAACAGAATTAAGGTAATAAATAGTCTTTGAGGATCGTCTGTTATCGCCTACTGTAGTTATTTGGGTGTACATTGTTGATTATTTCAGTTTATTGGATTCCTTTAAGAATATTCATGTTGGACGAGAGTGCAGCAACGTTTGTTACAAATAAAAGTGCTATAAAAACATTGGAAGTTTCAATTCCCATTTTTCAGTATGAATTTGCAATTCTTTTTGCTCAATATACATTACTATTCAAGATTTTTTAAATCGTTAAAAAATACCATATTAAACACCTAATATTTGTACCAATTGCTTTTTGTGACCTGATGGTAGATTTGGGATCTCCGATGAAATTTTTCTATCGAAAACACTTTTCCCACACCAGAATAAATTACTATCTCTCGACACGCGTTTGGCTAATCTAGTTGGCATCATAAGGAGATGACTAGACAAGTCATCAGGACAGTGTAGAGACGGTTTATCCAATGAACATGACTACCCTGAATGAAAATATTCACAACATTAAAATCAGACAAAATGAAAAAGAACGTTTCAAATTTTCCTTGTTACACGGTTCCAAAATTAATGGTCTTCCACAAGAGAAAAGGAATATCGGTTTTTTTGAGTTCGAATCGTCATTGAACAAATTTTTAATCGAGTAGCAATCTGAAATATTTTGAGAGGTATGTAAAAAAAATTTAATGAGACTCATCTTCATGCGTCAACAATACATTTGTATTTTGAGTTTTAGTGGGGGGAAAGGGGACACTTTAAATTTTATATGCTTTTGAAAATGACTGTAATGTAACCTCTGTTATCCCAAACCTTTTGGAAATTACCAAAAGTTATATATGTGATGGAATCGGCGTTTCAGCACCGCTACTGAAGTGCGTACACGTTTTATTGAGGTGAGGTTCTAACAGTAAACTCATGTGAGTGAGCGTACTGTTAGAAGACTGGCAGAAAGAAATCTAAGGGCTTTTTGTCCAGCTCATGCCCCACAACACCGTAGTGCTAGACTTGCTTTTGCACGAGAATATGCTGACTGGACAGTGGAGGAATGGAAGGGCGTATTGTTCTCAGACGAGAGCAGAGTAGCCTTGAGAGGTCCAGGTTAGCGTTTCTACAGGTGCCAAAATGAAAGGTTTGCTCCGTGTGCTATAACAGAAACAGTGGGCTACCAGTGAAGTTCCTTAAAGGTGTGGGGAGATATCTCTTACGAGGCTCGTACTGATCTTGTCGAGTTTGATAGAGACAATGTGAATGCTTAAAGATACGTGGAAGAAGTTCTTCAAGACTACGTCATACCTTCTGCACCGTTAATTGGTGACAAGTTTCGATTAATGCATGACAATACACGGTGCCATACCGCAAAATCCATCAGAGTACTCAAATAAGGTCGGGATTCAAGTTTCACCATGGCCGGCAAGCATTCCCGATCTCAACCCGATAGAGCACATTTGGGACAACCTCAAAAGACGTGTAAGAGGTAGAGTACCGTCCCCTATGACCCTGGTAGAACTTAAGACTGCTGTGGTAGAGGAGTGGCACAATATCCCTCAACTGGATATTCGGAATATCGTGAATGGGTTACCAAACCGACTCCAGAAGTCATGAGGGCTGAGGCGGCAACACCATTACTAATTTTTTTTTTAAGATACGGTTCTTTTGTCACAAATGAGTTTGTCAAATTTTTATTGAAAATTATCATTAATTAAATTTTTGTAAACGACTTTTATTGAACATTTTTGTTTTTTTATCTTAGGGTAGTTAACGACATACCCTCTCATGAAATGTGATACAAATTTGACTGTTTCTGAAAATTGATAGAAATAAGGTAGGCGGTTGATTGTGTCTGTGAGTATATATGCGTTTCTGTAAATTATAAAATATTTCCATCGTTTAACTGTAATAAAAATCGAGGTAGGCAAATTTTGATTCAATGTTTTTTTTTGGAATTTTGAGTCTCAAAATGTTTTTTTTTGGAATTTTGAGTCTCAAAATGTTTTTTATGGAAACTTTCTGACAGTAACATTGAGTTCTATAGGAAGCAATTGGGCTCCAAATTTCAGTTTAGATTTGTAGGTCTCAAGTTTGAGTTTATAAATCTTAATATAAAATATTCACTTCCCCACAAGGAGTAAAGGTGAAATAAAAAGAGGAACGATATGGTATAAATACTGATATTTTTTAAAATCATACAATCACAGAGATTTAACATAAAATACACTCATACATAAAATAATCATAAACATACGTATAAATTATAATTTTAGCTTAAATAATAATGATAAAAAATTGACTTTTGAGTCATTTTCAATTTGAATCATTTTAATGATTGAGAAGTAATATTAAAATAAACAAGAAAAACGAAGCGAAGAAAATAGAATAGACTAGCTATGAACAAAATAAAACAAGAAAATGTAGTGTCTTCTACAACTATTTCAAAATATGGCAAAACAATTCACAAATGAAATGTACATAAGGTGCAAAATAAATAAGGTGTGAAAATTGATGGGATAAATAAAAAGAAACGATTTCACTTAAAGATATGACACTGTATGATATACTATATATACTATTCTAAACATTCTGAAAAACTGCTATATATTTGTATATCTGTAATATGGCACATTTGGTTTATGGAATGACATACTTTCTTTCAAAAAACGGTAAATCATCTAATTTTTCTACCAAAAAAGTACCCAAAAAGGCACAAGAACTGTTATATGTCTTTTCTAAGGCACTAAATCTATTAGAAAAGGCCTCTATGTCTAATAAATCTATCTACTCTATCAACTAAAAGTACCATGTCTTTTTCAAATTACATTTTGTTCCCTATTTCAAATTAAAAAATCTACATTTCTGTGAAGATTTACATTTAATTATATCACTGATAATGGTGTTTTGAATATAATAGTACATCAGAAACAAATTCCAAACACCTGTGAAATTCTTATTGACTTGCCATTTTTATCAAAATACTGTAATTGTTTAACAACTTTCAGTTAACCTCAGTCAGCTAAGTAAATATTTCAAGGATAACTGTAGTATCCTTGAGGTTTTCCTCAATATATATTTTGTGAGGTATTTTAATATAAAGGACTATTTACATAATTTACAATTTAGAATTTTTTTGTACAGACTTATTTACATATGTATACTTCCTTTAATTTCGGATTTCTTTGAGATAGTATCAATATATATGGTGGTTTTAATTCTCCAGTTGAAGGAACAATTTATTCCATATGTCTGTATTTATGTGCTGACATTTGGGCAAGCCCTAGGACAGCATATTGACACTGGAGGCAATGATAATGAGTTTGTTTTCCACTATGCTGACAGTTTGGAACTCGACATATCTGACTGGGGGTGAATTTTTCGAATCCTGCTGCTTGAATTGAATCTAATTTCTGGTGTTGACGACGGTGAGCAACGACCTTGTTTGTATCTGTACATACAAAGTCACATTTGAGACAATGGAAATGAGAAGCCTTGTTTTGGGTAGAACCTATAAAAAAAGTACTATGAACAATACAGTTGAAATAAAAACTTTTCGAGTAATTACCTAAATTAGCAGTATATGCGCAATCAGCTCTTCCACATGCTACATTGGCCCTATATTGCTGAAAATCTCCACCCATGAGAGTATCGAGTCTCTCGTGCCTGGCAGTGTGTTGCACGAATCTTGTTTTGTCGCAAAAGCTGTAACCACAATCATGTCGCTGGCAATGGAAGTGAGTTTGATGTTCTCGATATCCACAATGTTGGTACTGGCAGTCTTCATTAAACCTGAATCTCAGATAACCTTCAGGCACGGGTTCGTCTTTCAGTATTCGCATAGAATTTTGTATCCTAGCTTTTTTTGCTTCTGGAGATATGTCGTGAGGACTCAGAGCTCGTTTATTCAAATTGGCAGCCATTGCTGCCAAAGGACTCGTCAAATTTTCCCCCTGATATGGGTTTTGAGGTGCCAACAAAGGGCTCTGCATGAGCTGAGCGTGTTGAAACATTAGCTGAGAGTTTGGATACAAAGCTTGAGGTAAGAAGGCGTTTTGCATTTGTTGTTGCTGAGATAAAAGAGCAAACTGAAGGTTGGCAGGAAAATTATTGAAGTGACTATAAGCATCGAATGTCGGCGTCAAATAGGATTCATGTTCTTTTTGTGGGGGAATTACAGGATTTTGTAGAGACTGTAGCGGAGCTATGCTTATTTTGGATTCTGATGAGGGTTTTGTCGTAGAAATCGAAACAGTTGGTTGAGGCGAAGGTGGCGATCGAGATGGAGGAGACTGGTTATTGCCTTCTTCTTGAAGTTGGCTGTTCAGTGCCCCACTGCTGTGTTTAGCCACATGCAATAATAATCGATCCAGTTCACTGAATGCCTGATTGCACGCATTGCAGTGATAATGGTACTTCCTCTTGAGTTTGCAAAAAGGCCTCGAGCAACTGAGTTCAGGTCCGTAGAGTGTATTGCTTCCTCTGTTTGGTGCGTTCGCCTCGTATTGTTGACTTAGGTCTGTAAACAAAACATCTGTGATTTTTTCCAGTAGACTCTCCGAGTGAATTTCAAATGTTCATGCATTTACACTTACAGCAGAAAATCAAACTACTTGTGGAAGTGATAGATACAACACAAGAACTATTCGATTATGGTATCACATATTTTATATTTCATACATGCAATTGGTTGTGATTTTCTTAGAGTATGACATAACAGAAAAACGATATTTCTTCAATAATATGTGAGGAAAATAGAAAACTTCTGAAGCAAATAAAAATACATCAATGAAAACGGCATATCCACAGTTCTTCAGGCAGAAACCAGTAGAAAATACCCTTCTGATACAAATACCTAATTATGAGTGTTTGGAGCGAGTGGTTGTTCTAGGTGTTTTTTTCTGGTTAGATATCGAAAGAAATAATTGCCATTATTGCTATTTATTTTTTTTTTGACATTTTCACATGTTTTATATATTATTGGAAATTAAAAATATATTCTTTCCGCCATCTTTAGGAATGTTTTTTATTTGTTGTTAGGTTATTTATTACCCGTAGTTCCATAAAAAAATTCATAAGGTTTTTTCAACATAAACTTCATAAAAATTGTCGCCCAAGTTGACCAGTTTGTGAGTTGTGTCTATTGAAGAAATTGGTTTAATGATGATACTTGTATTGATCTTAATCGTTTTAAACATGCTAGCCGATTTTAAACAATTTGCTGTTAATAGAAAATTGTAAGGCTGAGTTGAAGAATAGTCCTTGTTGATACTCCATCCATTCATCATCTTTTTTGGTCAGTTTTAGTTTTAGGTATTGTTTTTTATGTATTTGATGGTGAATACAGTCGATTTAGTATTATCATCATTAACTGTGTTGTAGTTTTATTTGTGAAAATGTGACAATCAACGAACTTTTATTTACATTTTGACTTTCTTCTATCAAAAGAAATGTGTAACGTGATGAAAGATTTGTGTCATTATAAAAAAATGCAAGTGTTGTATATTTGTAGCACATATTTGTCATAGGAAAGAAAAAGAAAGCTTTACATAATTTTATTTCCGATGTTGCTTATTTGAAGGTATCGTAATTCCAGACCAAAAAACGATTTATAAAGAACTATTCCAGGAACATAATGCAATCAAAACAACAGAAAGCACAAGCTGAATTTAACAAATTGCTAGCTTTTGTTAGTTTAGCATTTTTTTGAATGTTAGTACACATTCGTACCTGAGGTAGCGGTTTTATAATCTGGTGATTTTTGAATTTGTTCTGGCAATGTAGATAAAGGATAGAAAGTTCCGGATGCCTTCACCACTAGAAGAAATAGAAAATACTATACATACAGTCATCAAAAATACTGAAAATGATACCTACATACATACAGCAAAAAATATGGTAGTAGTTATACATTTTTTGAAAAGTCTGATGTTTATTGAAATTTAAGATAATTAGTGCCAACTTTTGTGTTCTACCACATTTTTTGCGATACTTTCATGTGATAATTGGCTCTAAACTCACCTGATATCTTATTTTCGGCTCCCTGACTCAAATTCATAGCCTTAAAGTGATTTTCACTGGAATCGGGCTTACTTTCTGTTAACTGGGCTTCACTTTTTACCCGAATCTCTGGAATCTGATGAAGATTGCTCTCTTCTAAATGCTTCTGATTGTGAATTGCCATGGTGGAGTATTGAACGAATGAATAATTGCAGTTCGGCCTGGTGCAATGAAAGTGCCTGTTAATTTTGTTACTAGCACAATTTTGCAATCGACAATCGACATTTCTATCATAAAACTCGAACCCATCTAATATTTCAACATTGTCATGAAAATCTTTCGAGTGAACGATGAGTGCATCTTCTTTATCTGTTACATATGAACAACGATTTTGAATACAGTGGAAATGTGTGGAGCCCAGGTAGGGACATAAGTTATCGGAGCATTTTGTATTTTCACCAAACGAGTCGAACCCTTGAGAACTATAGTCTTGTGGCTGTAAAAAGTGAATTGTAAGTATTGTTTCTAGGTCATGCATGAATTTCAAACTTACTGTTGGGCTGTGAGTGCTCGATCTCTCATCGTCTTCTTTGTCTTCAAAATCTTTACTACTGGATGGGGTAGTTGATGGCTTTGGTAGTTTGAAGCTTGTGAAAATGGCCTGAGGGCTGTCCATGAGATTCTGATTACCCATTGGGTTCTGGAATATAGTAATGGTTGATAGTAACTCATATTTGTTAATGGGTTCAAGTTTGGTAGCGTTGAAAAGGCATCTTTCATTCAATAATATTTGATTATTAAAAAATCTAAATACATGAAGAAAAATTGAAATACATGTTATGACTTACATAATCATTCCAAACTTCAATGACACGATTTTTTGGGGGACGCCCTCGTTTTCTGCAGAACATGCCGTCGATAGAGCTGGATAAGTGTGTCATCGTTAGAGGATCTTTGGTCAAACTGAGTTTTCTGGAGTACTCGTGCATTTTGTGATGCTCCAACCTTCTGAAAGGTTTGTCTGTAGGCAGAATTACTTCCCTGCATCCATCCCAGTTGCAGTGGTAGTGCTTTTCTTTGTCTTGGTATATACAACTCTCATCACAACCTCCATTTTGTACCGTAACAGTTGTAAAGTAGTTATCAGTGATCATTTCTTGTTGTTCATGATTTCGAGCATGTTCCTTTGCAGCGTCTTTGCTGCTGAATACCATTTCACAACTTTCAACAAAGCAGTGAAAGTGGTCGCAGTGCGTGTAATCGCATTTTTCACTCGGACAACGGTTTTCTGGAACGAATTGACAGTATTTTCTCCAGTAATCATCGTTGTTCCATGTGACAGTGTCCTCTTGAGCAAAGTTTGACTCATTTGCACTGAGATCCATAGCAAAAGTTGATTCTGACTCCTCGTAGCTCACAGGTGAATTTCTTTCACTCAAACTTTCGGAATTCGACATATTTGACATCCCCCCTGAGGATTGGTTGTACATTGAAAGATTAATGCTATCGATCTGAGCTTCATAGTCGCGATTGAAAGGCATTGGGGGTCCTACTGTGCCATCTGCAAGGGTTTTCATCATACTTTGAGCGAGTTTGTACTTGCGGTAGGCTAGCTCAGAATCTTTTCTCTCGTGTTTACGTTTGTGCGAAAAGAGTTGTCCTGAGCTGTGCAACACGTAACTGCATTGTGGTCTGATGCAGTGTATGTGGTTACATACTTTCGAAAACCTACAGTTGTCAAAGGGACAGATTTCGTTTTTCATGAACTTTTTGAAGCCGTCTCTTGAGAGTTGTTCGTCTTTGATGTGATATGATTTGTGTTTTTCTGAAAAGAAAAATCAAAATGAATCACTCCAGCAAAAATATTTTAAAATTCAGTATTGTGCATGGATTTGGAATGTCAATGCAGATATGCTTAGCTTTTAGATATCCCTGTACTATAGAGTACTACAGATAATATGTTGCAGATTTATTTGGGAATGTATTTAAATTTTGAATGCCATTTTACTGTATATTATTTTTGAAGTTATTTTACATTCAAAAAACAATTTGTCGTGAGACTTTCACTAAACAGTTTCACAAAATAGCAACACGTGTTTCACCATACAATGGCTTCTTCGGGGGTGTTATTTTGTCATTCATTTTATGACACAAAAATGATGAATTCACGATGAATTCATCCATGAATATGCATAAATATAAAGAATGATTAATTTACTTTTTCAGAATTGTTTATTCTACACTGTGCCCAAGGTGTATTTATCAGATACCTTAATATGTTATTTTTTTCGTCTGTAAAAAATATTCCTATCTTTCATCGTAATAGTAAAAAAACCGACTGTTGTCTTGAGATTGATATTCTGAGAATTATCGTAACTGAGAATTTTTCATGTATGTACATAATACTTCAACTTACTTTCCAGATGAGAAAAAATTCTCATAGGATGGAATATAAAATGCATCTACATTATAGACTACTGATAAACTTACCCATGTCACTTTTGTTCTTGAAAGTGAAACGACAACCGGACCTCCTGCAATGAAAATGCGTCGTTCTCTGGCCGAAAAAGGCGCAGTAACTGGCTCCGCATTCTTCGGTCGCCCTGTATCTTTGAAAACCCTCCTGGATGATCGCCGAATCTTTCCGGTGATAGTTGGCATGCATCTGTACGTCCGAGGTAGATATGTAGACTTTATCACAGCCTTCCTTGATACAGTGATAATGCGTTTGTTTTTTGTTGTGCGTGCAGTTGGAGAACCTATCTCCGCAGTCGTCCAAAGGACTGTACCGCATGAAACCGTGTTGAAGGGACTCGTCCCTCTTTTTGTGCCACTTGAAATGGCGGATCATTTCTTCTTTTTTGATGAAGACCCGCGAGTTACAGTCCAGACAATGGAAATGCTCCCTGTGAATCATACGAATGGAAATGATTTCAATGTTCAATCTGAATGAGAGAGCAGTCTTCAATAGAAATTATTGTGAAACGCTACGCAAATGATCTTTTTTTGGCAGATATATACCAGTGAATCCATATTATCGAAGTGAAATGATATACAGATGGACACGTTTCACAGATCAAGTTGGCTTCTTCAGCAGATGAAGAAAACAAACGCCAGCTTGGTTGGTGAAACGCCCGTCCAGAAAAGTATTGGTTGTGTTTCAAGTCCCATTGTACTAGTGAAAATCCAATTTGAAATTCATTCAATATACCGAATTTCACAGATAGTCATATTATTTCTTACTTAACCATTGGCAAGTAGCTAATGGAAACAGAGGATTTCTTTAGTCTTTGATATTCTTTCTCTGCTGGATTCATTGATCTTTTGGTTGAAGTGTAAATCGGCTTACCTGTAGTTGAGATCCTTGCAGTACGTGCTACCACATTCCAAAGATGACGTAAACTTTTTGACATACTTGGAATAATCAAGTTGGGTGGTAGCTTTGCTCATCATAATATTCGTAGAAGATATGGGTTCTCTCGGTGTTGTGGGAGCCAGGGACTGGGCCATCATTGCTGAAAAGAAAATAGGAAACATTGAAATGACCGTAATCTATGCCATTGTGGTTGATAAAAGTCCAAATCGTATCTTCGAATACCATACATGGACGTAGTCCTGAAGATACAGTTAAGACGAATTGGGAAAACGTATAAGATAAATACAAGGAAAATAGTAGTAGAATCATTAGCAGAAATTCACGTGACAGCTGCCCATTCGTTCAATACGCATCCATCTCACAGGCGGAAAATATATGCAATCTTCCAATGCGCAGGGAATATTAATTTGGAACCACAACGGAATAAGAGGACCAATATTCGTATAGATAGTCTGACTGCCTTCAGGGTATTGAGGAACCTATCATAGTGACATCAAGATTGGAGTATCAACGCTGTGAATTACTAAAAGAGTTGGCCGACAGGATTAGATTCTTTCATTACTGAGTGCAAAAACATTCTAGAATCACAGGCAACGAAAAAGCTGATAAGTGTGCTGGGATATGTGCCTTGAACTAGTCGTGAGGGTACCAAAACCTATGGAGCGGAATCAGATTAGGTAATGAGAAACAAAAAGTACTAAGAAAATATAAGCGGTAAGTCAGACAGAGCTACTGACAGAACAGTCCTATATTACAAGACCCACGCACAAAATTCCGTCAAATAGTGAAATACATGTGAAAGATCTTTTTCACACCTAAATGTTCATACATTAGATTTTCTTTAATTATTTTTCTTACATTATCTATTTTTTGGATCGATACTTTTTGGGAATCACAATCGCTTCTGGTCCATGAGATTCATCCAACTACGACGAAATTTTGGTAATTATTACCAATTACGAAACGTTGAACGAAGTGACTATTTTTGTCGCTTTATGCATTTCTTGAAATCGCACGGCGTCAATTTTTAAGTTGGTACTGAAAGGCATTTACGAATATCGTGATGGAACATAAAAGGTGATCCTCGTATGTTTTTTCTTGTCTGGCTAATATTCAAAGCTAAACGACCGAAAGTCTTTACCAAGGTGTACTATGTCTATTTCAATTGACTCAGATGCTCGAATATCCAAGATGAATCATCTTAATTCTTTATTCATGTCCTGCCTATTCATGTGGGATTGAAAACGTAAATGGATGCCACATCCCTTTTTTACAATTAACGAAAATGAGAATACAGATTTGTTTTCACTTACTGAATAAGTGACGTAACCCGGTTCTAATATTCTACAATGATGAGTGGTCCAGATGTTTTTTTAAGCATCTAAAGGGTCAAAAACCAAACATGAATGGTATTGGACGATTTTCAGCTTTATGCCAAAGGAAAATATGGCTCATACAGGAACTCTCGGTTTGAAGTGAAGCAGTCTATTTGTACAAGTGTGTATGCATGATTTAAAGTAGGTCTTTTACAAATTAAAATCCTCGAATTTCATTCAATAGCACGTAGACATGCATGGTTTAAATATCGTTGACCTTTGAAATATTGAAGAATTTGAAATTACGTCCTAACCGACTGGACAAATATTGTGATGTATTGGGCATCTGGTTTTCTATAAGAGAGAATACTAGTCGAAGTGTTTTGTTTGGTAATGGATAATAAGTCTCTAAATTTCATGAAAACATATTTTGACTGAAACATTTCTAGAGAAACATAGATCATTTATGACTCGATGAAAGCTTGAGGAAGTATGTAGGTAGAATACTGAGTGGCAATGGTAATCACAAAAATTGTTTAAAAGAATAAAATTGATTCTCAAATAATGATCATTTGAATTGATAGTCAATTGTAAATCTCATTGAAATAATGAAAAATTATCTTTACTGATTCACATACGGTTGTTTTCGTTGTTTGGAGAGATACTTTTTTTCAAATAACGCTGTTATGGAAACATTTGAGAAAAGCCAGGTAGTTCTGTCTCCCGCTGACAGATGTCACTATGAAGATCGAAAGCAAATAGAATAATATTCAAATTACTCGTAACAGGAATTGTTGCCAGTATTCCAATATTGAAAAGAGAAGAGAGACCAATTGCCTTGGATGACAAAAAAATTACCAACTTTAAAAATTTGATGAAACCACACTGTGATAGTATAAATTGGGTCATCATCACATAAGGTGAAGAGTGAGCTTGAGGCAGCAGAATAGGTACTTTTTAAATAAACTTTTGACATTAAATCATTCTGTCATTTGGACTCATGAATATAGGAGCTTTTTTGGGTTCCAAGTATATGATTTCAGTCATAATTTTCAGCGTTTCTTTCCTAACTGATAAGCTGAAACATTTCGATCTAGCTTGCGTTTCTATTCAAAATAAACATAGCATAGCGTTAGAAACGTTCCCATTTAGGGTTGCCTTTTATGTTTTCAAAAACCCCACTAGATGGCGCTATTATGGTATAAAATTTTCGTAAAATTAATTTTTTATTTCCTTATAATCAAGTACTTTTTGGAAAACTCTGTATAACAGGCGATTTCATTTTATCTTTTTCGTATTTCAGTAAGAACGTGTGAATTTTACAGAGGTTATTTAAATCTGCTTATTCAAGGAATGTGTTTCATTATTAATATAGACCGTATTGTTAGAAATGGTCTACTGAAACCCTTTTTTTTTGAAAAAGCAAGCATAATTATAGGGCCTCCTGTATAATGAAAAATAACGGTACGTATGTCTTTCGTTGTTGTATGAAAGATGTATTAGTATTACTGATAGGTGATAGAGATAATATAAAAGCCAAAAAATCCGTACCTACTCTAAATACTCAATACTGCTCTATACCATATTAAATAATTTATTATTTGTAGGGGATATAACTAATTCAAACCGCCGTGTTGAAAATTGTCAAAGGAAGTGTTTAAAGTAACGCTGACAGAGTGTAAACTTCCATTAACATTGTTGTTCAGCAATTTCAACTGTTCTAAATTGATTTTGATGTATAAACATAGCCAGCAGTTGTCTAAAAAAGGAAATATTAAATCTAGCCGCCATGATTTAAGTACGCTACACACAGAGAACAAGTAGTTCTGTCTCCCTTTTTTATGCATGTTGTTGAATATATGATGGAAGATAATCACTACAAATTGAATCCAATAAAATCATAGCCGGCCCGTACTCTCACGACAATTGAACGTCAATTTAACCAATTTAGTCGTCTTTTTATTATTCATAAAATTTCATAAACCCGCTCACTTACATGTTTGTTCATCGCAATTGAAGCAGGAGATTTCTAAGACTTTTTATGACATCAATTCAGATCAATAGATGATTAATCGACGTTACGATGGAATATTCAAGTTTTATTATTTTTCATTCGTACGAGACCTTTGACGCTGATGACGGAATAATAACCGCCTTCAGTTTTTTCGACCGCCTAGATTTGTGAAACTTTCGACGTCGACATTTTTTAATACAGAGGTCAATTGTAAAATATGGGAAGAGTTCAAAAATACCGTATCTATACACAAAAAATGCGAAATCGGTGTATGCTCGTTCTTTTATTTCCACTACGTGCTGGAAATGGATATGTTGATAATATATACTGATAAATTGCAAACTAATATTGTCCATGAGAAGAAATCGAACCACCATTGATGTCATTAAATTCAAGGGCGATGAACATGGAAAACGGAATCCGTTTCTGCTTGGGGAATAAATACATTGATATTCTTCAGCCATTTGAAAAAATAGATATGGCTTTTTGATAATTTAATCGCACACGCATAATGATCTCCTGAGGACGCTAACTTGGTTACTAAAACGCGCTTCGAGAGACGGTAATTTTTTGTTCTGGTGTTGGAAAGTGTTTTTAATAGATTCATTTTACGCCAGAGGTTCCAGTACGAACTCTAAAAAAACAGTTATGAAAATTAAAAAAATAATACGGGCAGCTCATTCATTTCATGAACATTTACTCTTTGTGTGTGTTCGACTGAATGTAGATTTTCAGCAGGAATGCAATAACTTCATTATGGAAAACTCGACCAAAGGTCTGTCACCGGTTATTTACATTCAAATTATGCAAGTACCCCAGCATCTGTCTTGCAACCGTGTTAATAGTAAAGAATGAGAAAATTTATTATTTTATAATAGCTTGCACAGGTCTGTCAATACATAAATTAGCATGCCAGAGCTAACTTTATTATTGGGTAATAACAGGCTTTTCCCTCTTTACGGCCGCAATGAAAAAAATTACGTTATGATTTACAATAATGTACTTACGCTAATTATAATGGTTACAAGTGGGACCTAGATTTCAGGCTATATATGTTTGTCGTCTACATGACTTATACAGCACACAGAAGGGGATAATTTCAGCTCGATCATTCCTTGTTTGAACTTGATATCTTTATGGATGAAAACAAAAGATTTAATCCGCCTTTAATTAAAAGATAAACACCTGATCATGTTTTGTAGAACGGGAGGTAATTTGCATTTATCCCGCTTATAATGTTCATAATTTTACTATTTACTATAGCACAATTTGACTCTTTTCATTTTGAAGCTACTGTAACTCACAGACGAATGCGATTCGGAAGTATTCAAAAATTTCCTGTTTTCCGAAATTATGTGAGGTCAGATATATGTATACGCAATAAGTAGAAAATTCGATCGGTTCATCTCAATAAAACTACGTACTGATGAATGATTATTTTTTTTGTGTGCGGGAAAAAATGAAGAATTCGTTCTTAGTTATTAAAAATGAGGTAGGTATGTTGGCCTCATGAACAAGCGCTTGACTATCACATAACAGTAAACTTCTATAAATGAATATATAAAACTCAAAAGTAATCAAAATGCCAATAATAATGTTAAATACCTGATCTACCGTCCTAATTTTCAATGAAAACTAGAAGGGTCCTTTCTTTGAGTACAATTTGAAAATGGATTTTATTATCGAATATTGAGATACTACAACAATTTTTTCTTTATTATTCAAATTTAGAAGAAAGAAAATATTTTTATCAAATTATCATTGGACAATGAAAGATTACCAGACTTTTCAACTTAGTTTTCATCAAAA